ATTAATTTAGTTTTAGTCCGTTTAAAATAGGTGAACTGTTATTATATTAACTGGCTTATGTATTTGTTATATACATAATCTTGTTAAATGAGCTTTATACTTTGTGTATGATTACATAGGTTTTTTTTTTTACTTATATAGGCACTGTAGCAAATTATTTAAAATTAAATAATATACCAACAGAAGTTAAATATATATTTAATTTTCCTTTATACACCCAAATTCATTTTATTTGAAATGTACTCGGTTAAATAAGAAAAATATCTTGTTATTATGGTAACTGTGATTGTATAATGTAATTGTAATATTAAAATATTTTATTTATTAATTTGATATTTATTATTATAGTTAATATTATTGTATTATAATAAATTAATATTATTGTAAAAATTGTATATCTAAGCATCTTGAATTATATAACGAGCACCACTCTTAACAAAGTAATTAATATGGAAAATAATTGATTTAACTATTGCGAACAATATGACGGACGATTTCGTCCTTTTTTTAATCAGTATCAAAAGTTATAATTGCGATCAAGGTTTCCTGTTGTATTACTTTAACAACGAGCTTGAGTATCTATCGGTAATGAAATCACCTGTAATTTTATCTGAATGCAACTGAATACCAGTAATTTCGTTGTTGGTCAATCATATTACAACGAAGCTGACTTATTATTAGGTATCAAAAATAGTCGTTCATTTTTGATTATCTTTGGAATCATGATATCATGTTTTAAGTACGATTTCATTTGATAGAAACACAGATTTACTATTACTAATAATTATTTAATTTTTTCTTTTGTTGGAAATTTATAATTCTCCGTTCAGCAGTGGCCACCACACTCAAAAATAGTGGTTCGTCTAACGGGAATATCTGTACACGGGAAATCGTTTATTTTCCGAGTAGTAATACAATTGGAAAATTCAAATTTTATACTTATACACGCATATTATTTTATTGTTGTTTTGACAAGGATGCTTGAAAAACGATGACGGTACACATGGAATCCGTTTTTCTTTGATGTGTTATTTTTTTTCATATTAATTTCTTGTATTATGTATTATTATGTATAGAATTACGGGGCTTCATGTTCCACCACCTACTAGCCAGCACCCGAAAACCCAACACACCGGAACGGAACGGTAGCATCGACAGGGTTTCTCATTTTGTTGCCAGCAAGGTCAACTACAATAGCAATAATACACACATCTGATCACATTGAACTCTCTCACATACATACAGAAACACTTATACATTTACCTTTATACAAACATTCACAAACGCATATGTTTACATAGTATGCCGTTTGTATAACGTGTACTATAGGTTGGTGTATTATTATTATTTATTGCACTAGCTGTTCCATATAAAAGCTATTATTTTGAATTTTTTTTACATATTTTTTTTCCTCTTGGAAATCGACTTCCGGATTTGACAATGACGAATAACGACTAATGCGTTTAGCTTACATTCAAACACTCGTGTTTTTCATTTTTAAATTAGATTTTGAGTTTTTGTTCCCCGCCTTTTTTATTAGCTGTTGTTCGTTGTCATTATGACTTAACAATGCAGCCACGATGCAATCGGTGTAAAGACCACTGCCCGATGAAAATAAAAAAAGAAAAAAATAGAAAGATAAATGATTTGTTGAAAATGAAGCTATATTATAAAATCTGTTGCATGGATTGCAGCTTTGAATTGGATTGGTTCTAAACGGACTGTTATTATGATTTTAGATATACACTGGTTGTATGAAAAATGCGAAAAATTTTTTTTATATTTTTTTAAATAATTTCAAATGAGATCGATAGCTGGTGGTAGTTAATTACTTATCACTTACAACTTATGTTGTCCACCTTATTATTAGTCTTTGGGATGACATTTACAATAAGTTTTTACTGACTGACCTTTATATTTAGTGGTTTGGTTAAAGTTTATGATGTGTTCTAAAAAAGCCTTTCTGTTATATAATATCACATTGCTTAATTTGAAAATTTTATTCAAATTCAGTATTTTTGTTTTCGTTATACGATTTTTATAAAGCATTGTAATCATGGGTCATATATAAGGACTAGTTTTACATTTTTTTTAACAACATGGGTCTATTTCATAAGGAATTCAAATAAAACAGATATTTACTAAATTTATATAATTGTGAAGTTTCTGTTGAATTAATTTTATTATGACTATAAAAAACGAAAGCTGATATAATAATCATTATACGTTATTTTTTTTATATTATAGAAAATAAGCAATATATTTCCCGCATTCATTTTTGGGAATTTTTACAAATTTCGAATTATTCGAAACTATTCGGCTATTCGATAGTTTCGAATTATTTAATATTATTCAATAGTTCAAATTATACGAAACTATTCGGACTACTCTATAGTTTTAAATTATTCAATTATTTGATAGTTTACGACTGGAGAATTATTCAGTAAAATTTGAATTTAGCTTAGCTTAAATAATATTTATTTTACTTTGAGATGCCTAATTACTTATGTGATAACTGATAAGTTAAAGGTTATTTAAAAATGTTGATATTTTCGTTATTTCTAAACAATATATTGGGAATAATGGAAAAAAAGGCTTTCTATTCGAATAGTTTTTTATTCCGTATATTCGTATAGTTTTTATTCGGTATAATCCAATAGTTTACATTCAGTACATTCAAAAAGTTTTTATTCAGTGTATTCGAATAATTTTTATTCGGTATATTCGATTAGTTTTTAATTTGTTTAGGTATATTGGAATAGTTTTTCATGGAAAAACCATTAGGTAACGCAAAATAATATTCGATAGTTTAAGCTTACTATCGAATATTATTTAATAGTGTAAACTATTCGATACTGCCTATCACTAATATGTACCTATATATTATGGATAAACGTTCTACATAAATATTTGTGTTTATAAAATGGCCTAATAATACAGCTTATTAAGATAACAATTTTTGACTTAATAAACTTTAAAGTTGTATTGTTGTATAATTTTACAAGTATTATTATTTGGTTAACATAATTAAAATAAAACACTTAAAAAATTAACAATAAATCAATATATAAATAAATTTGAAATATGGATTTATAAATTATATTTGATACTATATTTACATTGTTGTATTTTAATATACATTTTTTTTTGTAGTTAACATGACTTATTGATATGATATTTATATAATTATATATTATGAAATATTACATTACGTGCATTTTTTTAGTATGTGTAGAAAATGTTTTTATCTACAGTCTACACTGTTAATGCAATAATAAATATATGTATATTATTAGAAACGTCTCATAAATGTCAAGCATAAATGCACTTTTCAGTTAATATTTATTATGTAATAATAAATGTGTATACTATAAGGTACAAATAAAAGGAAATCCACTGTATTGTAATACTTTTTACTTAAATATACTTTATAAATAAGCTTTTACTTTATTTGGTAAAAAGTTTTATTTTTATGTTATCCTTTCATTTCAAAAAAACTATTAAAAAATTAATATTTAAAACCTAAATAATTAAATCGTAAATAAACAGAGAAATTAAACTTGAGAAATTGAATAGAATTTAATTTACGAATTTCCCCGAATTTAATATTTGATTTTAGTTGAATTATAAATTAAATTACAGCATAATAGTATCATACTATGCATCGAATCAATGATAATTGTAAAGTAAATAATACTGTTTCAATTACTTTTCAAATCCATTTATCTGTTAATTAGATTTAGATTATCTATACTTAATCAAGTGAAACAATTTACCAATATATATTATTACGGATAAAAAAAATATTTTATAGATATTTTATAAGATAAAAAAAATAAAGAAATAATAAATTGGACAAAGATTCTAATAAAGGGCGCATTCTTATAGATACATCGATCATCTCATAATATCTACTTTGTAATATTGTGTTTATTATTATTTAAATTTTGGAATTGCAAAAAAATAATAGAGAATAGTTTACCTAGCAATTCCGTCTAATATAGAAATAACGACATTTTTGTTTTCGCCTGAAACCTAACAGGAAATATTTTTCAAATAGCGATGACCTACTTTACCTTAATATTGTAACTTAGAGATGCATGTGCTGTATACTTGTATGCATCGTTTTGGTGCTTGTTAAAAAAAAAAAATAATGAGTAATTCGTGATCAATATAGTTGACAGACTACCATTGTATGAACAGCTGAATCCAATTAATCAAGGCACTACGCGAGGTCTTATATGCAATATACGTTGTAGAAACGGCAAATAAAACCTTATATAGGAACAATCACGTTTTTACACCCACAGAATATGTTAACTGTGATTATTTTATTTAATTCTTTTAATAGAGCTATACCTGTAGCCATAAAAAGTGGTCTAAAAAAAAAAAATATTCAATTCATATCTCACCTAGACTACAACGCGACGGTTTGAGAAAAATCTTGAAGTAGTATATAATGATATGAAAAAAATAAAAAAATAAATAAAAATAAATCGTGCATGTATGCCAGTACGGATATACAAGGTCGTAGATTGATGGCCCTCGAGGTAGCAAACGAAATTTATCGAGTGTTCTAGTACAAGGGCCACTGTGTCAAGTGTCCTGAAGTGAATGAGATGAACGGCGGTGTTATACTGTGGGTACCTATGGAATGACCGGGAAAAAATAATTTAGAAGTGCATTAAGACAAGTATATATACACGGAATAGAAAGGTATTGGATTTGGTTTAATGAGTTTTTATTATCTTAAGTGCAGGTTACTGTTGTGGACTACAATCGGTTTCCTGAAATCATTTCCTGACACCGAATTTAATTATTGACCGTGTAAATGTATAATTTGTACATTTGTACATACTCACCGTTTGTTTATACAACGTATAGTTTCATGATTTTTGGTGACAAACTAAAGCTCACATAATGAATAAATATATATATATATATATATATATATCATAGTTTTTAACAATAACTAATAAATTACTATGATGTTTTAACAGGTGATCCGATGATGTCGTCTATGAAACCGGCTCCACTGCAGTTTGTCAAGCTGGCTCCGTCCGATCTCTATCGTTCGGCACAAGACCAGTTGAACAAAACGGCTGCAGTGGTCGTTAAGCCAAATCCAAAAGAATTTGATGCCGAATGGCAATCGGTATGTAGTGAAATTGTTTATTAAAAACTAAAATCAATAAATATACCCAATACTGCAGTTATAGAAAAGTGATAAAATCATAATTTATCCTAATGAAACTCATTATGTTGTAAAATTAAATGATAATGCGTATTTATATTGTATCTTTAAATAACAGCTTTGCTATAGTGCTTCGGATATAAGCATAGATAAAATATTTCCTTACATTTTATACAAATATAGCGATTCCGAATTATTTTGCTTATTGATTTATGTATAGTGTAATAATATATGTTCGTAAACACATGACGCATGTTAGTCATCAAAAAAACTTTACCCTTTTTGTACCAATCAACCACGTCAGTACAAGGTAAGAAAACATTTTATACAGAAATACAAAATAATATTTCTTCCTATCACAGGGAAAGGTTATAAAAGTGTTTAGCTTGCTTTGAATATTTATATATCCCCTTGTCCCCCTATACTAGATTCATTTTATTACAATAGTAAATAAGTTTTATTTATTTATTTATTTTTAGTTGGTTTTACATTCAAAATTATACTTATTAATTGCTCAAATTATAGTAACTTTTTATTTTTTTATTCATTATACATATCTAAGTGGATATATTAATTCAAAATCAATAAAATTTTGTTTTTAAATACAATTAAATATATTAATCTTTAATTCCAATCTCTATTATCTTGGCTATACTTACCCTAATGTAATCGTTCTTCTCAATACTTTTACTACTTCCGTCATTTTACCTATAAATAATTTTATCTTTAACGCAGATTTCCGCATTTAAATTATTATAATTATATATTAATTGCATAATTTTAATAATAAACCCATTGTCTTGTATTACAAATAATTTTTAATAATTTTTTTATTTTAATAATTTATTTATAAAAAAAATATAATTGTCAAGCTTTAAAGTATTTTGAATTAAGTAAATGTAATCATAATAATATAAAATAATTAAAATAACACACTTTTAATTTTGATTAAATTTAAAAATATAAATAAGTATAATAGTAGAGTTACATAAAGGTCAAACTACGAACTATTTAATATTAATTTACAAATAATTGTCTACTTGTATGAAGGAATAGATTGTGTTTTAGTTTATTGTGGGATGTTTATTATAAAACCTATAAGTTATTTTTTTTTTATATAATATTGCGATAGAATCAACAACTCAGTAATACAATAATGTAGATAATGTGACATCTAGTTCTATATTCATTGACGTGCGAATTATACAGCGAATGTATTGTTGTACATTGTATATATTGTTATATTATTATATTATACCATAATGAAATGATTAAACTGATATTATGTTCGTTCGCAGGACTTGGACAATTGGAAAAGTAACAGGAGAAAACAACAAGAGCACATAATCGAGCGACTAGTTGAGGTGAAGAAATTTGAAACGGATAGGTTGGATGATGGGTTCCGGAAAAGGAGTAAAACGTTTAATGAAATGATACAAGAAAGGTAAGGGTAGCCACAACTGGTCACATATAATTTCACAAGCACTATGACACTTTTAACAGTTATTTTTTTACTTTTTTTATTATTTCTCATTAGATTTGATAAAAATTGTCTTTTTACGTAACGGTTTTTTTTCTAAAATATTTCTTGTTCTATAATGAATCCTTAAATATTTCGTATAATAATGGTTTTGTTTAGATACATTATTATCATATTTTTAGTATTATATTATAGTTAAAATCTATTTTATTAGTTCCTTTACTATTGGTAGATATTGATGTTTTTTTTTTATGTGCTATTATTAATGAATAACTCTTAATTCAAATAGTTTAATAGTTTTCAATATTATGGTTAGAATAATTACGAATGCGATTGAATCATTGAATCACAAAAGAAAAAAAGTAATAAAAATATTCTTAGGAAAAATATTTTATGTTCTTAAATAAACAGTCACCTATACATAAATCCATTAATGCATAAATGTGCGCATTATTTCATAATTTTGTTTCGTTAAGTATTTTATGTCTCAATAGACAACAGTTGTGAAAGTTTTATAAAATAGTTGGTACGTTTGTCTTTGATGTCTTGTTTAATATCTGATATATTAATTTCTTATACAATGAGATATATCGATATATATATACCGGTTTAAATATTTTGAATGATTATTATATTTATTTGTGTAATACATTTAACCATATAGATAAAATATAATAATATAATGTTTGGTAAATGTATATGATAATATATATTTTGATGACATTTTTTAATTATTAATTTCTTGTTTTAAAAGTATATGTTCCCAACAGTTAAAATAAATTATACATTATTTTTTATATTTATGATAAAATTAACTTAATTGTGTGATTGGCAATGGAAGAAGTGTAAAATTACATTAGTTGTATGATTTTAAAGTTACATTTCTACGTAATGTATTTAGCCGCAAATATAAATGTAACTTTACTTCAGTTTTTTATAAAGTATCTTAAATTAATACTTTATGATCTGATTATCTTAAACAGGTTTTTATTATTATTTAAAAATACCTCAGTGAAGTTTAGTGTAGTGGATGTATTTCGGTGTTTACAGGTATAAAATGATTAATGCTTTTAAAAAAGTTCATTGTATTATTCAGTTTTTAATATAATGAAAAACACTTTTTACTATAATATTATAGGTATATTTCATTAATTTTGAATTGATGATAACTTCCAGTATAATGATACATGTAAACGGTTTAATTATGCATTAAACATATACTAATACGAATTTGATTTCAATAATTTTAGTTACTTGTTTATTGAAATATGATATTTTATAGCATGGCCTTACCTCTAATTCGTTAAATTTTGAGTTGTGTTGTTCATCATCTGGGTGTGCGATGTATAAGCGTATGACGCGTTATAATATATAATTAACATTTGTGACGTATTTAGGTTATAGCATTTAGCAATCAAAAACAAAAATGAGATTCGATTCAATTCGAATATCACATTAACAGCACTTTTAAGCAACTTTTTTCTATTTCGTTTTTTTGTTAAGATTTCGTACAATATGTTGATACATGCAAAATGTTAAATTATTTATGACAACACGGATATCATTTAAATCTTTTGATGTTTATGTAAGACATGATTATACTTGTGAAAATACGTCATACGTTTATGCTCTATACATAAGTTTTGTATACATGTACAGTGTAATATTGTTTACTATAATGTATACATATATTATATATAAGGTATATACAAAAGTTTTTTTTGTTGTTTGGTCAAAAATATCCGACGAATAGCACCTGGTTTTCATCAAGTATAGTAAGATGATTTTCGTTATTCGAGTTAAAATCGATCCATTTACATGTGTGAAAAATGACATATCACCGTATAGAGTGGTGTATAGACAAGGACGAATAATAGATATACATACTCACACTTCGAAAAGAACAAATAAAACCGCTGTACGATTAGAATCTGAGGCTCGGACAATTCTTGCTAGTTTCTACGTGACCGAAGGATTGTGTTCGCCTTTAAAAGCGAATAGTGAAAACCATTTTTCGTTTCAGCTGTGTGATGAACCCGGTTATAAACATAATATGTTATATATCCTCAACAAATGACCTAGGTAGATATTCTTGCATTATATTATAAGTCTCGCAGTAAGTACACTTTCGTTTCGATTTCCCCTTTTCTTCATCATTAAATTACCTACACCTAATTTATATAAATACGTACCTATGCAGTTGCTCGTCTGATACCTTATTATTTGAACACTATATAAGTTTGTTGTCTTGAATTATTTTTTATCCACATAATTCAAAATATATCGAAATATATGGACGGTAAACAAATAGGTACGTCATCAAAGTCGTCTTGAGCGACGCGAGTTAATGACATTTTCATCGTATAAATATGTCGACAGTATTGTTAAAACACCGTTAACACTTTTTGTGTTGCAAAATAAATGTGTTAACGTTTTAAAATACAATTTAATTGTAATTCAAACTATTAGTCTTTGGCGCGAATGTTTATTAATATTTTTCTTTCTTAAACTATGATTCAATTTTAAATAAACGATTTATAAGCATTTTGAGAATCCTTTTACCGAGCATGAGTTTATATTATTATTATTTATTATTATCATATTATCTTTTAGAAAAAAACTATCTACCTATTATATCAGTATACACAATGACGATGTCGTTCATATCCCTACCATCGTAATGATAATAGTCGCTGTAGGTGTCAACTGCACGCATATAACTTGCTAAAGGTCGACCGTTGCTACCTATCGTAAATCGATTTTAAACTTTTAAATATTTTATGAATTATTATTTTTTCCGTTAGACTAATGTATGTAATTATCATATCTATACAATACTCGTATATTGTATAATGTTTTATTGAAAAATAATTTTTGACATTCGTTATTCTTGTAAAACTGTAGTCGTAACATTATGGATTGACAATCATCCCAAAAGTAAGGCGAATAATTATTTTTTCGAGGTCGTTAAATTATTTTTTCATTAATCATGAATTTCTTAATTTGATATTTATTTTAATGATTTTCCCATTGTCTGACACAATAGATTATTAATTATAATTTATAACTTGATAAGTATTCATGTAACAGTTGTATGTAAGTATTATATCATATCGTATATCTGCAGTACACTCAATTAGTGTAATTAAAATTTAAACTAGTGGGATTTGTGATTATCTGCATTAATTTAATTCAATAGACTCATAACATTTATTTTTTATAAATGTATATAAAGATATTTTGTTTTTATCATTTGTTACTTTTGAATTGTTTAAATACTTTTATCGCGTGACTTTACTTAGTATGTCATTTTATGAAGTAACCAAGTGCTGAAGTTGTTTTTTTTTCGATTTGATAAAGATTCGTTGCTGTATTGTAGTCTTTTTTTTTCTTTTTCATAATCGGTAACTACACTCAATATATACATAACTGGACGGATAAAATTGTATGTGTGATTTTCGTTAATTGGGACAATGTACAGCTAATGACGACTTGGAAAAAACTGTATGTTCTAGGTATAGAAAAATGTAGGTTTTTTGTTTTGGAAATTTACGCAAAAAACCGGTTGAGTTGATTCTTGTGAGAAATTCCGAACTATCTGTTATAAATAACTATCTGAACACATCTGTGTTGTACACAGATAACGCACAGTGCATGTTAAATCACTTACGGTTGGCTACAACTATGTTTATATTCTATGGTTATATAAGCAAAGCTAACAAACCTTAAGTAAACTTTACTTACGCGGTTCTGAATTATTAGTTGTTGATTTTTCAATTATTTCATTCAATGATAATTTCTTATGTGAATACTTAATCGTCGCACATCTGTCAATTTTAAGTATATTTAAATAATAAGTAATATAATGAAGGCTAATATGGAAGTGTGTTACACTCGATTATATATCTATATTATAATTAGTGAAATTTACTATTTTTTTTTATGTTACATATGGCGTATGAGATATAAAATAAATTCCATTCAATTTCTTTATGTTATAGTTCAGCTCTTTTAAACTTTTTTTAGTGGAAATTACACGTTTTGATTTATAATTTTTGAATTAGTCTTGAATCTACATAGGGCGAATGAATTGATAATATTTAGTTTTCAGGTCGTTAAAAATTCGATTATTGATGCAGGTTTACATAAAAAAAAGACATGATTCATAAAATGAATTATTACCTTTATCGCTGGCTCACAGAATTTTTGGGTTCCGCGGAACACCAGTTGGGAAACATTGGTGTAATGTATAATTTATAAATACGTACACATATAAATATGAGATAAATTGCGATAAATTGTACGTTTACGTCAAATAAATAAATATAATATTCTTATGTTTTTGTGGTGTATTTGGAATAATTATTAAAACTAGGCTCCGATTTGTATGCACTTTAAAAGCTTAAAATAGTATGCTATTATGCATTAAATTATCTTTAAATATGTGATTGTTATGTTATATTTTTAATAATATGCAAAATTATGCTCTTACTCTTACTTAAAATATATTTATTTAAATATATTTTATCCATTTTTTTTCCATAAATATTAACGTAAATCAATTAGATAAACTTAGTATCTCAAGTACAAATATACAAATATCAATTTATAACATTAATAAAAGCAAATATTTACACATATTTAACAAATGGAACAAATACTTTAGTTAGGAATAATATTAAAAAAAAAAATAATAACGCATTAAATCCTTTTTTATAATTTCTTTGGTAAATATTCACGAAACATAAAAAATATTGAAATTTTAAAAAAAAAACAATAAATAAATAAAAAATAAATTTAGTTACTAATAAAAACGTTTTGATTAATAATTACCATATTTGTCTTATCACTTCTTATATGTTTATAAATACTAAATGATCTTTCCACTTATACTGATGTCAGTGATGCATGCTTCATATTGGCTATAGAGCAATCAGTGAAGTTTTCTGGAAGTTATATCTCATTGTTTTTTCAGATATAATTCGATTTGTCTTAATACTTGAATTCCTTTATTTCTGTGGTACGATTAAAAATTAATTTAGATTTTGTAGTTAGTAGAAGCTTTGTTACCTTATATATTTGATTAATCATAATCTAGTTTCTACTGTGATATAAAAAATAAAACAATTGGTTTGATGAAATTTTATACAAAACGCATTTAAATATGCTGTCATCTCTAAAATATGCATTTATATGCAAAATAAATTTTTTCCTATGCATTCTCTATTATACAAATCGTCCACATTTCTTACTCCCATAAAACTGCATACACTCATTACAAATATATAGAAGCATATAAATTCTAATTATAAACATTACAGTTAGGTACACGGACAGTCAATATTGTTTTGTGCACTCCTATAATCTCCTGCTCTACACGAATGACAATTTTGGTCCCCCCCCCCCCCCCCATCATTGAAATTAATTTCGAGTTGCTGCTTTGTTCTCGTATGTAAATGCTTACCACCGTTTATGGTGATCTGAATTTTTTCGTCCTCGATCCATCTCTGTAAATACCGTCCGCAATAAACAAACACGTGAAATAGTATAATAATAATAATACTGATGGTAATAATAACGTCGTTGTGCGTGTAAGAAATTTTAGCCGGCACCTAGCTGTTAATAATACTTGTACAATCTAAATCGAAATCACAGCTGCTAGAGGCGTACAAAAATTACTGTATTATGTATATAGCTGTACTACGAAACACGGGCTGTTGGGATTATTTGTTTTTTTTTTCTGCATCTAGCGCGATTATAAAATTCCTCGCAAATTATATATTTATCCGGTGTATATTATACGCGCGCGCCATTCCGCGACCGATCGAATAACAGTAGATTATCGCGCAGCAGCAACACTGGAAACCGTCGGGCGCATGATATTATTCGTCGTGTGTACAGTTACCGGCATCATTGCGCGGATTGAGTACATATTAATATAATGTATTTTACCGTCGTGACGGTATCAATTTTCAGAAATCAGTTGGTTACCAGGATGAGGATAAAAAGTCACGAGTGCTTATTACGCCCTTTCGTATACATACACCCATATGCGTTCAGATAAAAACTTAGTTACTGTGTTTAATCAGTGGAAGCCAAATATTTCACAGGTCATCGATAGTCTGAGAAGAAAACTCTGGGACTCATTTTTTTTAATGTGCAATAAGTATAGTACTATATGTATTATTTTAGTATAAAACAAAAAAGAATAAATTTTGTTTGCACGTATAAGACGATACGTTACAGTTTTGTGCAACGGTGGTCTCTCTTGTATATCGAGTACGTTGTCCTCGTTCCTTTTTCCCCTTCGTTTTGACGACGACCGTCGAACGTCGTAATTAGTATTGTTTTTTGCTTCTCAGTTCTCACTGCACTATTATTTTTACTTCGCTTATTGTTTTTTTCCCATCTGAAAATTCGGTTCGTGCACACGCATTGGTTGCTCGCACTTGCGCCTGGATTACCATGCGACTATGCTATGGCGAAACAACAGTGCGGTTTTGATTAGACCGTGTTTTGTGCGTGCGCAATAACGAAAATCGAACGAGAATAGCCTTGTTTTTAATATTCAATCTCATTCGAATGTCTATTACGCATGACGTGTGCACACAATGCTCTTTATGTCGACTTACGTGTCGCGCGTACTGCACCAAGTACCGCATATTGTACTTTATGTACAGAACATTCTGGTTACCGATTTTAATATTATTATTTCGTATCCGTTCTAGAGCTGTTGTTAATCATCATCTCGGTGGTCCGTTCTCTCCGCTCCGCTGTGGTGATTGGTTTCGTACGTATAGTTACGCATGCGAGCCGTGGTGACATTTAAGTATTTGACGGATGATATTTTTTTTCTTAATCTGGTCTTACCGGAACGCGTCGAAATACCGTGTAGCATACACAGCATACCGCACATTACTCCGTGCCTATCACATTAGTAATAGTGTATAGTAGTAGTAGTAGTAGTAGTTGTTGTTCATTAGTCGATACATATATATACTATTTATTATTATATTATATATATTATATTATTTATTATTATATATATTATAGGTCGTGTATAATTGTCGTTTTACTCGATTTATATCTACGTGTTTACACGTGATGCGACGTTAAACGGCATGCAAAAAAAAAAAAGGGAAAAAATATCGGTCGCTCCGATAATAAATTGAAGAGAGATCTTCGATGAAAAATACTTATGTATATAGTACGTATAATAATTTACAGGGTGGTTATTATACATCGCAAATCTGGCTATGCGTCTATTGGAAACGTAGTTGTATTTTTTTTATCGTCGGAAATTGTTTACTTGAATAAAAATAATGTAATCTAAAAATACATTAAAAAGGTTGTAATCTATTGATGCTAATATCTTCTAAAGATGTCCAGTACAATAATAAAATGCAAACAACTATTATTTTCTCTGATACATCTTGATTAGTGTTATGAACACACCTTGTATATCTGAATAATAGTAATGTTTCTTTCGTCGCAGTTGCGTCGATTGGTAGGTTCGAAGCGCGATCAATTGTACGTTTGACTATCTCAAAAAGTTCAATCGATGTGCCGTGATGCTTTCTGTAATATACTACAGTAATTCGTATTTACAATGCGCGTGTTTTCTTTGCAATTCTGATATCGTCATTATCTCCGCGCGACTTTTTATTCTCGCGGCGGGAGATCATATTTACGTAGACAATATTTCATTAGTTTTAATATTTTCACATCTTTATCCAAGTCATTGCTTCTAATGTCTATCGATCGACGAATTTCGTCAGCTACACATACACGGTAGGTATTAATACAATATAATGCCCATGTGTGTACAATATTGTGATCTCGCTTTCTTTCCGTGCGATCAATTATACGAGCTGTCCGGCCCTATTTGTTGTGTGTGTTTTATATATATATATATATATATGCGCCTATATCGTATCGGTCGGAGGTAAATTACCTTTGGGCAGACGACAATTAAGTAAATAAAAAAGAGAAGCGCTTTTATTTTTCTCTCCCATAAAAACGTCAGACGAAAACGACGGTGATATTCAGACCGTCAAAAAATATAATGGAAATTAAATTATGTAAAGTTATATTATTACTACATCGGGACGTAGATAATATATACGTGCTGTGTACAATGGGATGCCAATTAAAGTGGCTAGGTGAAAGTTGTATTATGATATATCCAGGATTATAAGAGAATTGCAGTTCACAAACCAAAACAACTCACGTTCTAATAATAACAACGACGCACGGCGATATACGTAAATATCGTACATAACACATAAACGCGTATAATATTATGTATACGTTTGCGTTTATGAAAATTTAAATCGGTCAGTACGCAAATGTGCGCGAGACGTTAGTTTGTAATAAATTATTATTACTATTACAACTAGTGCAGCATGTATTTATTTATATTATACCATGTATATGCCAATGTTGCACGTGTACGCATTGGCGGTGCGGGCGAAACGGGTCTCTTAAAACGAGTTTTGCCGAAATCTTATTATTATTCTTTTAATCGTATTGCGATGACCTGATCTGGGTGTTCATATTATGATGCACGCGTGTTTATAACGTGTTACCCCGTGTACAATATACATAAATAAAATAAATATATATTGTAGTATACTTGCATGCAGGGCCGTCGAAAGAGAAACCCAGGCCCGGGGAGTATATCTTAATTTTTTCTGTAGTGTTCATTAAATTCTTATCATTAATTGTTTAATTTTTAATAATTTGTAGTCCCTAATTTCCGGGCCCGGGGGTGGGAATCATCCCTTTATCCACCCCATTTCTAGTGAGGCCTACGTACATGTCCATATTAATACGAGCTTTTGGTGTGTTGTTGCAGAGGCAAAAGCGGTCGTTTGAGGAGTTTGCCGGCGCTGTATCAAGACGACGACGACGGTAACGATCTCAGCGACTTGGGACTAAGCAGAGGCAAGAAGAACAACGCAGACGATGATGATCACGAGTCATCCCATCATCACCCGGCAGTGAACCACGAGGAGGATGTGTTCTCTGGAGTCGAAGAGCCAACCGCCGCCGCCTCCTCCATTAAAGTGGCAACGGTCACATCGGCGGTTACCGCTGATCATCCCGTTGCTGAAAACGGATATGACCGGGCCATAAAGGACTACGTGGATTTCGCTGAGTCTAAGAGGACTTCGGTCGCTAAATGCGAAGAACAGCAGCAGCAGCAGCAGCTGCAGAAGAAACAGCAACAACCACCGGGCCCGCGGAAACCGTTGGCCGAGGTTAAGCGCAGGATGTCGGCGCCTAAGATCGAGGAGAAAGTCATGTTGCTCAAGACGTGGTCGCAGTCGACAAAAGACCTGAACACCGGTGCCAGCGAACTGCCCAAAGTGGACATCGGAAAGCGTCGGGAGATATTCGAAAAGATCTGTTCGGAGACGAAAGCGGCGACCGAAGTGTTGCAGACGGCCGGCAAACAGCAATCGGCATCGGCTGGTGCCAAGAAGAAGTCGTTCGTAGTAGCGGCGGCGGCGGCGGCTACGACGACACCGCTGTCTCCCACTCTGTCACCTCCGTCAGCTGCTGTTTGCACTGCTGCTGCTGGTCGGCACACGGTTGAAGAGTTTTCCACGCCCGAAACACCGGCTACCGGTAATAAAATTAATTTTTTCGTGCGCACCCGCCGCACGTTTGTTCGATAAACTATTTGTATTTATGTGCATGATGACGACGGTTTAACGTTTTTGTTTTTTAGTGACCGAACCGCCGAAAGCCGCGGAGTTGACTGATCACCAGCGGACCGTGGTGTACGACAGTAGGAACGAGGAACTGCAGCACCAGCACCAGTACCGTGCGACGACGGAGCAAGTTGAAGCGGCGGCGGACCACGGCGATGACGAGACGGTCACCCAGCTGGAGGATGGTACGATGGCCGAGGAGGAAAAACCGATCGTGGCGCTGGAAAAAGAACGCGTGTGTTTGGTGGACAACGAGAACGACGAGTACCACCATCACCTGCATCACCACATCCGGCACCATCAGCAGCTGTCGTCGCTCTCCGATCTTGTGAGTCGGCATTCGATAGACAGCCTGGACCAGGAGTGCGGTCATACGGCCGAGGACCCGGACGACGGTAACTACCCAGGATCGTGCCTGAGCGCGGAGGACAGCGGCATACACACCGAGGACATGTCGAGTTGCGTGAGCCAAGCCGACGACGAGGAACGTTCCAACTTGCAACCGAGTCCGGTGCAGCAGCAGCCGCAACAACAGCAGCAGCAGCAGCCGATCGACGTCGTCCAACTGCAGCATCACGTGGACCACGACACGTACAACATGGTGAGAACGTTTGACGGTCCTTTTCTACTTTTACGTCGCTGTAGCATGTTAACCGCTGTATTATTTGTGCGCATTCGTCGCAGTATAACTGTAACCTGACCTCCAGATTCACGCGCGGTTTTTCGTATATTGCCTGTGTACGCGATATCCGATCGACACCAATACTAGACTATAAAGTCCGCAGATCGGCTGGCGTTATTTTTTCAACCACAAATTTTGAACTCTAATTACATTCGTGGTTTTTTTTCCCCCGACGAATGCTAAAACGTATTATAAATTTTGCCGTTGCAGCGTACGTGGACCGTATCATGTATTTTATTCGGTCAACTTCCAGGGTGTAGGTAAAGATTATTTATGGGGAATCTCCAATACTCCCCCTCCCTTACATATGTCATTGGTTAACTTCAATTTTGGTGTGTTTTTCTAATCGTTTTAGGCGATGACCTTTGATGTTTAGAGTCCATCGAATTCCGAACAATCGTTCAGCAGATCGTGTCTCAGTGCAACACATGCTAAATTGAAGATTAGCACATTTTTGACCATTGTTAATTTATACATCCGTTTGTACAGGTACTTGAATTAACACCAGTCAACGCTCTGGAACCACCCAAAGAGAAACCGCCTCCACCGCCCGTTGACACGTGTCCAGACGACGACCAAGCGAAACCTCCTCAGGAGCCCGTGAGTTTTACCTATTTATTTTAAATTTTTTTTACCATTTGTCCGTCGTATACTATACCGAGTACTGTGTATTATTTAACTCGATAGGCCGTGGACAGCCTGGAATCAGCTAAACGCATTAAAAAAGAAATGTGGATGAAACGTTCTAGTTTCCTTGGTCTAGAAGAATATGCCAACGGAAACGCTGGCTACGAACACGGTGAGTAACGGTTTTGGTCACCGAGAAATCCATCTAGTTATGAAATATTTATTAACCGCATCGCGTCTATACAGACTTAGAGACTCTCAAGTCAAAGCCACCCGATCTAACGTCGTTTCTAGAGGAAGAACGCCGATTGGAGAAGCTATTGTACAGTCAGAATAAACAGGAACGACCATATGACTCCACCAGGGTAAATTTCAGGGTTTCAACGCTATAAAATATTACGTGTACCTGTCGTTGTTCCTAATGCACGTTATTACCGCCCCTTGCAGATTTACGAGAACGTCAATATACCGTCACAAAAGGTATACGTAGACGATGGCGGTGACAGTGAGAGCAGTCAGTACATGAGAGACATACTGCAAGTGGAAGAACAGAGTCGGTGCAATCAGCTGAAGAACAAAGCAACTCAAAACAATATAGGTAACCCAAATGAATAATGAAAACTCGTTGGTTGTTTTTTATCACGTAGGATAAACGTTGCGGGTAGAAATTATAATGCGGATAGGATGAAAACAAATCCCAAATGATTCGCAGAATTAGGTTAATTTTCAGATAGGTAGGTTTGTAGTCACCTAATAAGTATTATAATGTCCTATATCACTGTAAACGATGCTTTGGAAAAAATGATTAATTTCGCGTTCGCAGTAAAAACAATGACTAGTAAAATAATATATAACTAAACGATTTCCAGTAATTAAAATTACCGTAACTGTATCTCCTTTATCGTTTAACGTCAACTGAGACGAAAATTCGGTACAATTTCTAAGACATTGGTTGAATATTCACGTCATTACGTGCACCTCTATTTAAGTCACTCTATATTTACTTAGAATTTATGTTCTCCCCTTATTCAATTTAACGCTTATTAGTAGACTCATCTAGCCTAATTTTTTCTCGAATCAAATTTGGTTTGTGTCCGACTCGTGAAAAAAACCAAACTTAAATCCAGCTTGGTATCCATGGCACACACTCGTCCGTCGTTAACGCCAAATTTCGTTTTCCATTTCAGGCGAAAAATTGGTGAAAAAATTAAAAGAGCTCGAGGAAGACCTAAACAATCAGGAATGCGCGCGGGTCGGATCAGCGCACTGGTTGCCGCCCACCCGTCATTCCATGCAAGACATTTCCACTACCGTGGTCACGAACACCGGACCGCCGCCACTCGATCACACCCAGTCCATGCCCAACTTGGAGGTGAGTGCATTTTTTTCCCTCCAATTCCGTCATACGATCCTCGCTTTCATCTATATGATACGTATAATATTATCATTGTATTACGTACAAAACTTACCTGCACGTGTACTGAAAGTTGTAACTCGTCTCGTTTGTGTTTTTTCAGCAACAACCACCCATTCACAGTCAACACCATCAGCCCGATGATTTCACATGGTATGTATAGATTTTCACGTCGGTCGTATGCTTTTACAATTAACGTTTTCGCGCCCGCGTTCCACTACGCATATTATTATTGTATTTTTACGACGGTTAAAGTCCGTGGCGTCGAATTACTACAGCTTGTATCACACACACACACACACACACACACACACACACACACACACACACATATATACACAAACAAACACCGTTATTGTGTTCGCTACATATTACATGACAGCGAATCGGTATTAATTTGTAAAGTATACATGTGTATAACCTTTTACACACGGTGTTATGTTTAAACCGAAAATACAAACAAATAGAAAAAAAAAATTCCAGCGAAACTGGTTTGAACTCAATATACGGAGAAAAAACCACACAATTGAGCACACTTCGTTTTTTATAAATACCTTGTTATTTTAAGTATTAAAAAGAGCGTAAAAAAAAAATTAGCGCACGACGCGTACGTCTCTTGTTTTTAACGATTCGTTAATGACGAACAAAGAGGAGGTAGCAATATTATATATTATTATACGTGGACAACGTTGTATCGGTGTAATCTGATCTTGTTCAGTGAAGCCAGTTTTCTAATAGTCACCCGACGTCTATGAGACAATGGTTTCAGATGAGTTACAGGCTTATGCACCCCAATGCATTTTTCGAATGTTAATAATAAACAGCTACAAAAAGAAAAAAAACTTTTCGGACGTTCCAACCCCTTAATTTTAAGTCAAGTTAGTACACTATTTTGATTTGTAGACTAGGGTCAAGTGAATTGAGATTTTAATCCAGATTAATCATGGAATTTTAATACAAAAAATATATTCATATAGATAACATTCAATGTATTATATCTAACAGATATTGTCAACAAAACGTATAATATTACTATAATTATTTAATTGTAAGTTTTACTACACTGACAAAATTTAACTCAATAATTTGTAAATTGTATGCTTTCCAGGTCTTCTCAAGGTCCAAGACCAGCCCAACAGAGTGTTTATGCCAAAAGAAAGCAAATTAACAGTCAGTCAGAAAAGTATAACTATCAACATTGGCTTATTCAAGTAAGTTGAATAATCCAAGTTTAGTTCTCAATCTGTAAAGGCAATTTCCATAAGTTATACGAATAAGAAAATATATAATACTTTAATGACTATTAAATTGTGTAGGAAGCAGAACACCGTCGTCTGGTTGATAGATGTAACCGCCAAATACCGCCAGGGGCAATTGCATCAAATCAACCACGTTCGCGTATCAGGCCATCTTTACCACCTCCTCCACCACCATCACATAACAAAAAACCTCTGCCCGATTCTGTGATTAACACTCTAACACAGCGAGTGCAGGACCGTTTGTCATTTAATGATTTTCACAGGTAATTCGCAGTTATATAATATATTAAAATTGTTGATATTCCCTTAAACAAGACGGTCAACTAATATCAAACGTATATTTTATGAATTCTATAGGCATGATCATATCGGTAGTGCTCCACAAGAATCAATGTTGAGTGTAAGCGGCAAGAAAAAATGTTCACACTGTGCAATAGAGCTTGGTCGTGGCGCTGCCATGATTATTGAGAGCCTTCAACTGTTCTATCATATTGAGTGTTTTAAGTGTTGTGTTTGCTGTGTGCAATTGGGCGATGGCCTGATGGGCACTGATGTACGAGTCAGAAACAAAAAGTTGCATTGTCACAATTGTTTTTCAAGTGATGATGGTACGTCTTGTTTATTAAATGTTAATCAAGCCTATTGTTAATAATTCAGTTAACAAGTGGTCACTATGATTATAATATTTTGCCATTCATGTTGTTTACAGGAGTAAAATTCAGTTGCGTATAGGAATTACGTTAAATGAAATAGTAATTTAACATATAAAACGCGCATCCAAGTGTTAAATCTTTTAAAATATTTTATTATTATATAATATATGTGAATAATATATTATGTTGAGAGAGGAGAGAGAGAAAGTAAAAATTGTATTATTGTTGTTGTTGTGTTTTTTTTTTTTTTTAATAATGTAAAAATATTTTATTTTCAATTTTTATTGATATTTATACTATACTTACATATAAAATAAAATACATGAAAGTACATTAATATTGTTATTATATTAAGATGTTTCTTAAACGTTAACCTATCGTTTTGCTTGTGGACAATTCTGTTTGATTAGAGTTATTGCAATGTCTTTTTGGCCTAAACAAACAAACATTAAATAAATATTAAAAACAAACTTTATGAAGTAATGTGAACAATTTTGAATTTCCTCACCTAATCTCAAGTGAATGTAAAGTGCTAATATAACAACGTGAACAGGAACTGAAACGTGTTCAATTTTTGACAACCATATCTGTAAGTGAGGATACAACATTATATAATTTAGAATACATACTGAACAATTTTTTAATCATATCACTGATTTAATTTAACTAGTGCATTTTAAAATTAAATCTAATAATAATTTTACTTGAAACATACTTGCACATAATGCAAATTCATTAAAAACATTAAACATTCTAAAATATGCCAATTGACTTCATTATATATGTAATAGAGAAAGTGGAACATTTATCATACTTGTTTTAATAATTCTCCAGCTTTATCGAGATCGCCTCTCAATGTCAATGCTACTGCTAAGTTATAATAAAGTACAGCTTTGGCAGATTTCTGTTTGTCTGGCTTCCATTTTTCTATAGTAAGCTGTTCTTGAAGTTCTGGTTCAATATCATTCAGAGCATTAGATTCTTTCAGCATATCTATAGCTTCATTCGGTTTGTCTGATAATATTAAAGCTTCAGCTGCATATAAATGACCTAAAAATCTGAATGAAAATAGAAATTTAATAGACAATTACTGTAAATCTACATATTTGCACAACACTTTTACATACTTATGGACTTTGTTAATTTTCTCACACTTGAGTAACTCTTGTGAGTACTTTAATGCGACCACTGGATCACCCAGACATAAGGCTATATACGCTCCAGCTGATTGAATGCAACCAAGAAGGTACTCTTTATGTGTGTCTAGAGGCGTATGAGAAGGTGAATAGTCAAAAGTATTATTTTGTAATAGCAAAACTGCATTGCGGACACACAATGAACCAAACTCAAGACTTGGCATTGGAATGGATGCAGATACCGCTTCACAACTTAATAAAATTTAAAATTAGAATATTTAAAAATAAAAAATAATATCCATTAATTGGCTTATATAGTTTATTAACTAACCTGTACTTAGTGTCAGGAAACAATTGTGACTTTAAAATAATTTTCCTATGTTTACCAGAGCCAATAACACCTTCAATGTAAGGTTTTTTGAAATCAAAGTCCCTGTCATTACTCTAAAATAAAATTTTACTTTTTAATCATTATTCTGTGTAGTTTAATGAATAAGTGTGTTAGCTTACTTTTTTGTGAGTCATAATACAACATTCTGCTAATCTTAACCACAGCCTTGGATTCATGTGATACGTTTGTACAGCTTCAATTAGACAGTCAAATGCTTCTTCTGGTTTTTGTGCATGTAATAAACAAATGCCAAGATTGAACATAAGCTCAGTTTTAATACTAGCCCCAATAATATGAAGTGGTTGACCTGAGAGACTTCCTTCGGCTGTTGAAAACAACATTAATTTGTCTAATTATTATTGAAAAATATTAAGTTTAATATTAGTTCTTGCCTCCTTGAACAGGTTTTGTTACATCAAAGATGTTCTTTTGGTGTTGAACAATTGCTTTGTAAATAGATGTAAATGCTAAGGTTGGTTTTTTAGCATAATGGTATAAACAGGCAACATTATTATTTACTAAAACAGAAGAACACTCTCCAGTTTCACTGTAAAAATATTTCTAATTAATGTAAAAATTTACTAATATATAGCTGTTTACTGTATTGCATATATAAAAATCTTACGTAAAGTCATTTTTCATAGGAATTTCTTTTAAAATCTCTAGGGCTTCCTTATAATTGCCACGCAGGTATTCCAATTTTCCCAATAAAAATAATGTAATGGAGTCCTAATATTTTAGAAAAATAATTTTTTTATTTAAAATGTAGTAATTTCTTTAAAATATATTAAATATAAACCTGTTTTTCTTTTATCGTATTCAGTTGCTGACTACATTCTTCAAATGAATTTAGTTCCATAAGACATCGAACACGGTATTGAATAAGACTTACCCGAAAGGCATCGGTAGCAGCATCTAAATTTGCTTTCTATGTAATTTTAATAATATTTTCATTAGAAATACATATAAGAAATTAACAATTAATATTCTTGAAATTTGTTTCAAATATATTGCTTGGTTATTATGTTCAAGAAATTACAAGCATCAATGAACATAATAGATGAATAAGTTATTTGCTTTATAAATAATTATAGTTAGCTTTAATAGTAAGTCACTATCAGCAATGGCGTATTTTCAACATTTTTTGTGTGAGGTAGAGGGGGGTGTAATATTTTTCTAAAAAATAAGTGATAAGACATGAATTAATAATTAAATTATTCAATAATTACAAATATAAATGAAGAGTTATTTATAATAAAAAAGGTAAGTCTTTTTTTTGGCCAGCTCATCAATTTCTAATTGATTTCATATTATTTCTTCAGTTGATATTAAGTAATTTTTATTTATTGATAATATCACTAAACCTTGACTTTCTTTTCTTTCGGAAGGAGCAGAGGTGAATTTCCCATTAGGCACTGTAGGTATCTGCCTAGGGCGGCAAAGTTTAGGGGCGGCTAATTCTGTAATTTTTTATTAGAAAACATTAAACGTATGCCAAAAAAATTGGAAAATTATTTACTTTATATTTACGAAAAATAATTGTATAATAATGGGTGCATTTTGTTAATATGTTATCGTCAGAATTTCGGGGAAAAATAAATATCCCCATTGCCACACTATACTACTAATTTGAATGTTTGTTAATAATCCTATGCTGTTATTATGAAAATCTGTTTTTATTAAAATTTGGGGAACATCCAATGGCATTTTTTCAAAGTAGACTAATTAATTAAAGCGAAAAAAATAGTCTAAAAATTCAAAGGAATGTTCATACGTTTGTATATTTAATATTTAGATTAGGTCTTTCGGAAGGGGTAATATAACTTCTTCGCTTATATAGGGGCGACAAATTGTTGGTGCCTATAGTCGTAAAAAAGATAAATCCACCTCTGGGAAGGAGTCAAGACCCAGGACCCTTTTCCCGCCGAAAATATACCACAAACAATTAGTAAATTAATCACATAAAACGATACAGTTATGAAAGTAAATTAAAAATGTATTATATAATCATAGTATATACTTTTTCTGTTTTATCCGTTTTAGTGTGTATAGGGCCCACTTGGTCTGTACTACCAGTCAATATGTTCGTAGCATTTTCGGTTGATACAAATTGACTTTCAATGTATGTAATTAATTTGAGGGCTTCTGTAGGTTTTTTGGTGTCTATGTGTAACTGAACAATCAACAAACATACTTTATGGGCCAAGCTTTCCTCTAAAAAATAATCAGTATGTTAATTACAAGCCATAAGGGACAAAAATAATTGTTAACACACAATATTACCAAGAGATTCTATAAACGAGTAGACTTTGTTTATCATGGCCAGAGCCTTGGTGTAGTGTTTCAGGTGGTACAATAGTACGGCATAGTTATAATAATAAATGCAGTTTTCAACATCTTCCAAAGTATCCAACTGTTCTAGATTTAACTCAACCTGTAGTCAACAATAGGAAGAAAGGAGAAGTGATGAAAAGCAACGAGTGAATATAGCTTACAAAATGTTACCATACCTGTTTGCAGACAACGGTAAAGTCTTTTTGAAACTTATCAGTGGTACACAAACCGCTTTCATAATACTCGACGATAGCCTTGTTCAACAGAACTTTGGGGTCATTGGGTCTGGACTCTTCAATGCGTTCCAAATGTTGCAGGCAAGACTTGTAATTTTTTTTCTCGTACTCGGCCAACGCTTGCTGAGCCAAATCACGCTCTTGGTCGGTAATGTTGGTCGCGGATGGGGAGACGTTAGCGGACGCCGTGGACCCTTTGCCATTCTGTTCCTGTTTATCGGACATTTGAAACGCTAATCGCACGCACACTGTGTAACAGGGTAGTCAGATATTCGTCCGCAGTTTATTATAAATCTGCCGACCGGCGGCAATCAACGGATGAAAACGGTAATAATATTACAATTCACTGGTGTTTTTATATTTTTAAACGGAGCTACGAACAATCTAGCGTCCCGTCTGTATCACCACGGCGGCGGTTTGTTATCAAAGTATACATAACCGAAACTGGTATACCACTAGTATCACCACAGAACAATAAATGGTATCACTGTGATAAAAATTCCACATATTAAACGGGAGGGGCGGATTATAAATAAGTATACTCTATGAGACGGCCGGGGATGGCTGGCAGACGGTTGTCGTCGATCATACGGTAATAATATTATTGTTCTTATCGACTATTCATTAATTTATGTTATAAAAATAAAAGACGAAAATGTGGGATAATAACAACACTTCAGAATTTTATTACGCTAGATAATGCAATTTAATACCTAGTACATCAAATTAAATTGACATTGACTATAGTTTAATAATGTTCTCAGGGTCTATTCTTCGGCGGATAAGAAAAATTTTTGCATAATAAGCCATAGAGGGTTTTATCGGTTGTCCCCAATATGTTATAATTGTAATTTAAACCATAATGTTATATTCGTATTATATATACAATTATAAAATTATAATTATACAATTAAAAATCTATATTAGTTTACATTCATCGTCCAACATGAACAAATGTCGTTTTCGTTTGTTCATTATCTTTTGCACATTACACTAATGAGCCTAATCTAATATTATTAATCAAAACATGTCTCGGAATAATTCAAAACGCAATTTATCCTCTTCATCATAATCTTCACCCATAAAATCTAGCTGCAACCAAAGTAAAGTATTCATCACACCAAATCGCTATGCTTCACTCTCCGAGGACAACACTTTTGATCAGGAGGTGTTTAACCCTCCCGTTATCACAACACCTTCCAAAGTCCAATGCAACGCTTTGCCCGGTCACGTGGAAATCATTCCAAGTAAAACAATTTTTTTTTTTACATCTCCTTTCTATTTAAGTGATGGCTACGAATTTTACACGCTCAAGAAATCCTTATTCGACCTTGTCATTCCTTCGGGTATTAATTTTAAAAATACCACAAAGCATCTGATTATCCGCACTGACGGCATCAGTAATTATAATCTAGTTTATCACTAATGAACAGATAAATTTCCACACATACCTGCCTAATAGTTTGAAACCATATGCTGTATTTATCAGGCACCTCCACCCGTCCACTGCTTTGAAAGACATACAAGCCAGCTTATTTGATATTGGCCACGAAGTTATTCGGGTCTCTAATATTCTACATCGTACCACTAAAAGACCTTTGCCTCTTTTTCGAATTGATCTAAAAGTTGCTGATTATAATAGTGATATTCTCAAATTAGGTTTGCTTCTTCACACCAGAATCAAAATTGAGCTGCCCAGGAAAAAACTCTCTCCTCCACATGTTGTGTTAAATGTGGAGAAAACCATTACACTTCAGATTGTACCAAATCACCATCAGAACTTACCAAGTGTGCCCTATGTTCGAGGCCGTACAGAGTTTTATACAAAGGATGTCCAGTTATTAAAATACTTAGTGAAAACCGCAGAAAATGTCCATCACTCAAAATTTATTGTCATGTAATTATTTCCGTTCATTTTTCAGCGTCAATCAACTGTAAGTGAGCACCAACTGACTTCTGAATACACTCTTTTCGTACTGCAATTCATGTTCTTAAAGTCTTTGAGAATACACTAAAATATGACGTGAATTGACCGGCAATGGCAGCCTAGCTGAACAACCGACGTGGCCTTAAGAGGTCGTTATTTTTTTTTTTTTTTGATATTGATGGTAAAAAGTTATGACATGTAATTTAAAAAAATAATAATCTATTCTTAGATCATATTTCGTCAGTTAGTTATTTAACAATTGCATGCATATTTAATAGTATTTTATTACAGTCATAGCTCTACAGTAATACATATAAGCTATCCTATCTAAAAACTCAATTGATTGACATCCTTCGAATACTACAAGTACTAACCAGCACACGAACCCTCAGCTACCATCGTAAACACGCTTATGGGATACACCGTACATACACTCTGCTAGTATGATATACCTACATGGGTAATATTTAAACTGTAAACATATTGTTGGTTGTATTTGATTGTTTTAAGTTCATCAATACAATTTGTGCGGACAGATGGTTCAAGACATACGATTGAATACGGTTTAAAATGTAGGAAATATAGTTTCAGACTTTATTTTTAATATTTTTTCATTTGCAACCATCGGAGTCAATTTTTCTTATAAATTATTATTTAATCCAAAATAATTCCTATATTTGAATAAATTAAGAAGTCCGTTTTTCGTTGATGCAATCGTGCAGTTTTAACATTCTAAAAAATGTATGTATCTCATCAATATATTCCAAAGGTACTGAATAAAAAGAAAACGGATAAACTATGAAGTTTAGTTTCATCACTATGGTATACAAATAAATATGTAAAATCCTAGAACCCATGTATAATAAATGTAGGGGAGACTGGGTACGATTGTAACGCGGGACAATTGTAACATTAGCTATAACTTGTTCCACAACCAATACAAGAACGTCAAATAAATACGCCAAATGTCCCATTGTAAAATAATCAATGTTTCCTAATCAATTAGTTGATATCATTATTATAATAGAAAATAAAAATAAAAATGTTTTTTTGATAACTGATAGTAAATAATATTATCAGTTAATTTTTATTTTTTGTGATTGTTAAATTATATTTTTCGTTATGTTCTTTTCGTTAACTTAGTCAGAAACTTGTGTAGTTTCACTGGATATTATTCAAAATACAAAGATCAGTAAGTATTTTTCATAATATTTAAGTTACTAAAAAAATATTGAATAGGTACAAATGTAACATTAATAGTTGCTCAATATTTTACTAGGTTTCTAATCAGACATTAATTTATATTAATTTATATTGTTTTATTATATTTATGCCACAGGTAAGAAAGAGAACTTCCAATCGTGGAACTGACAATGAAGTCATGAAACAAGCTGCAGAGATTTTTATTAAAGAAAGTAAGTCAATTCGATTAGTAGTTAAAGATTTTGATATTTGTTATGTTAGTTTAACTAGATATATCATCAAATTCTGGTTTTATGAAGCATGTACCAAAGCTGATTTTATTGCATATTTTATATATGATAATTATAAGGCTGACAATGAATAAAAATCTTTAGCACAATGGACTTTATGTGATGATCAGTAACTATTTGTGATAGTATATTTTATGTATGAAACTGTTAAGCTAAGAATTATTTTTAAAAAATTAAGTCAAGTAGTTCCTGTACTTTTATCTGTAAGTTGTTTTTATTTTAACAAAGTTTACCTAATTTATTTTGTTTTTACTATTTTTACAAAAAAGTTACTTTGTTGGTTTATTTTATTAATGTTATAATATTATTAAATTAGTATTTTAATAATTTTAAATAGTTAAAAACGCCTAGTTTCAACAGTTAATGTTTTTTTTTTTTTTTACAAAGTTGTATTATTTTTAATTTAAATATGTTGTTTAATTATAATTATATTAAAATTCAATATATTCTTATCTCTATAAGTTAGGTACCTACTGTTATTTTTTTATATTAACAACATTTTGTATTGTCTATTATCTATTTAAAGTTATAATAAGTAACTATTTTAATAATTTAAAACTTAAAAATGAAACAAAACCCAATTTAAAAGGTTAATATATTTTTATTCACAGATCTTTTATTTAATTTAATATGAAATGTTTAAAAAAAATTTAAATATACCATTTAAAAATTATAAAATTAAATGTGTTACTTTTGTACCTGGCCCTATTAAATTGTCCATGTTGGGGGTACAATTGTAACATTTTTTTTTTTTACCTTCATCAATTTAGAAAATTGTGAAAATTCAGGTTCAATACTCACTTATTTATAAAAGTATTAAGTTATTTTAATGATTAAAAGTGTAACTAAAGAAAAATAGCTTAAATCTTGGAAGAAATAAATGATGTTGTGAAAAATCACGCGTTATAACCCGTTATAAATTATATCAAGTGTAAATATATTTCTGACGGCGTACAGCGTCTTCTAGAAATCATATTACTCGGTTAAAATTATTATTCCGTATGCTAGAAGTATTCGCTGCTTCGGAAGTTTTATTGTGAAATGGGCGCGACGAAAAATTGTCGTTGGCAATAACGGTATTAACCGCAGGAGGAACACTAAATTATGTATAGCCGCGTTTATAAGGAATGCGAACGAAATGACTGCGCGGACGAAGACGTCTAATGAAATTCTTCGGCAGCGGATTCCATCGCGTTTTATATTTTACCATTACGATAAAGCCGCTCGTGCACGGACGACCCTTTAATCCAGTAGATAGTTATCGATTTGTCATAATAACATTTTAATTTATGGACGTTTCGCGTTCATACTCGTGTAATATATAATGTCACGCAGTGTTCAATACTTATGAATACTTATAACTTATAGTACTGCCTAACTGAATAAGGAATTGCTCAGTTCGCACACGCGTCCTGCAGGTGTATTATATTATTATGTCACACGTCGGGTTAGGTTAAATAGGTAAGATTAAAGATTAGGCACTGTCGATTTGGCAAACTGTTCAACGAATTGTTTAAAATTATAAATTTTTGAGTTTGTCTTATGGTCGAGGTCGCATTAGGTATGCGTATATTTGTATCACGATTATGAACGTAAATAATACACTATAAATTCGAAAATATTTTTCTCATTTATGCACTACTGAGTACTCTATGTACATCAAATTATAAATAATACAAAAATTACCGACTTAGTGATCATGATTGTCTTCTAACAAATTTAATGTGAAAACTTCAAATTCTACAATATAAATGTTGATGATTCTTCCATTATTTGAGATTTTATAAACTAACATTATAGATAATTTCGATGTCGTTTACTTTTTATCATTTTGAACCATTATTTTTGTAATCATATCAACAATTTACGGTAGATACGTTCAAATCAGGGATGGGACAAGGAAGGATAGAGGGAAGCTATAGCCTCGGACCTCAAATTGAAAGAGGCCACAATTTATTTTATAATCGATGGCTAACGAATACAAAATACTCTTTTATTAAATAATTGTGACTATACTATGATATACAAATTTACTATATTTATTTTAATTAACATTTATTACAAATTACTAAATCTAAATAAAAAAATGAAAATTTTCTGGTAGAAATGGCTTCATCAAAAGTGTAGCCTCCCTTGTATTACGACCATAATCCGGTCCTGCTTCAAATGATTATTTTCATTAGACCACCTTGTTTAGAACTTTTTTTTGCAAATAGCCTAAAGATATTGGAACTGAATTAGATTAGATAATAATTAGGGCTTGGATTTAAGTGCATTAAAAATCATACAAGAATAAGCTAAAACAGCTAAAAATGCCCTTAAAAAGGAATTTCACCATGAAAATGTCCTTAAACATGACAAATATATTTTTTTAAATTTATACTTTTGCTAGTTTAATTACCTGGTTTCGCACGGAACGTTTTTGGCCGTAACATAGGTTTTAAGGGATTAATACCTTACACTATTTAAAGCCAAGTTTGGTATTACTGTTGGTGGTTATAAAACAAATAAAACGAAAGTTCAACTGAATCGGTGTAGTAGTTTTGGTGGTACGCTGAATTACCTCTGAATTACCGTATTTTAAAATCTCTTCTTATTACATGTATTGAATATTGGAAAGCCCACCATGTCAAAGATCATCCAAAAAGATGCATTTATCATTGTAACCCGGGTCCTTCTTATAAGTAATTGTAAAATTATTCATAGAATTTTGGTCTCCAATCCAAGCATGCAACCTTTTATTTTAGTAAAAAAAAAAAAACCGTATCGAAGATCATAGTCGACAGGTAAACGAATAAACTTCTTTACTTATGTGTTAAGGTCGTTCTACACTATGTGCGTTTCGTGTTTTGTATAATATCGTGAATAGACGTAACAATGAAACATTGAATGGCTTTTTTACAAAAAAATGTTTTCATGAAAATCGTTTCGTGGTGTTTTGCAACTGAAGCGGTAAATTTACGAAATTAATGAACATAAAAAAATTAATTCTTTATTTTTCATGTCGCTTCATATGATTTCGTATTGTTTTGCTTTGCATTTGAAAATACTGTGAAATACTAAGTAACGCAAAATGTTCTTAGTATGGTGTGATACGGCCTTTATACATTTATCGTTTAAAAAATATATATTTTATCAAATTTTCGTGAGCATATTGACCTTGGAAACTGTTTCACGTGTTTAAAACCTTAAAATGTAATCTAGCTATTTTCGGTACTACTGAATTTATACACTTAATATATAACTGGATCATAAATCATTTTCATAATTTTGAAGTTCATCATATGAAACTAAACCCACACGCTGTATAAGCTATATTTTCGAATAAGAATAGTGAAAGTTTTAAACTATAGATCGTTAAATACAAATTGAAGATACATACTAGTATAATAATAATAATAATACAGATCAATAAGTTCAAAACTTTGTATAGTCTTTTGATGAGAAGCAAAGTTTGTACTGTTATTTAAGTGTAAGTTATAAACAGTATAATTATATTGTTTACAATGAATAATTTGTATTTTATGATTTTGTTCCTTTAGACATTAATATAAAATCTATATTTAATATTATACATCGTTAATCATAGGCATTTATCACGTAAGACTGTTCTTCGGTTTGCAATGGTTATATTTTACCTTATTGGGTTTGATACAATACAATATGTGAATATACATGATAATATTTATCATATTACGTAACCAGTAAATTATTGTCGCTTAAAACCGAATACCTATTTATTCGCGCGTGTGCCTAAGATTCACGATCTTGAAAACTATTCTCTGTTCACTCGTGTTTCGACTATACGTGATTTCCCTCAGAAAATCAATAAACTTCCTTTGAAACGCCAAATACTGAAGTAACATATCATACACACGCTCGTACGCGTGCTAAAGTCGTGAAAACAGAGATTATGTAATATATATATATATACATATATATATATATATATATATATGTATAGAATATTCGATCTTGAGTACACGAAGTGGCGTTTTTAGTGTCACAGCCAAAAACATAAAGTAGTTATATTTATTTATTAACTTGTTTCTAAAATTAATTTGCCAATCTTTACTCTTAATGGTAAAAAAAGAAGAAATATGTATAATAAATTGTACATACTAATCATAGAATATTCTAATCTACAATCATTGATATTTCGTATGAATTAAAACATGTAAGTTTCCATATCACCTTAGATAACATATATTTATATCTTGTATAATTTTATTTGAATTCATATAGTATTTCACATGCATGGAATATTTTTTCTTTTATATGTAGAAGTTTTCTCATAGAAGATGTTTAATTTCATGCAAGAATGATTGTAACTCATATTACGTAATATTAGATTAATTTTCTTTTAAAAATATCTATATTCCATGGGTAGTCTATTTCATGTTCTATAACTATTTAATTCGTTTATTAGATAGTATTTTATTAGAATAATTATGGTTTAAAATATAATTTATGATATTTTAAGGTTAAATACAAGAACGCAGTAAAGTTTTTTCATTTGATTGTAAGGATAATTATTGGGCCGATAATAAATACGTTCATAGTCAATAATTATTATAATATAAATTATAAATTCACATTTGGCGGGAGAATAAAAAATAAAAACCGCAACTCGATACTTAGGATTACATAATAAATATTAGGTCCCACGAAATGTAGTGTTTTATGTTGTTATAATATTTGTCTTAATTCTCTTTTCCTGTTCCAGATTCGAGCGATCACGATTGGCAATCATAAAAGAAATTAAATTTTGATTTGAATTCGGTTTGAATCGCATGCAATTGTTTTATGCACGGATAGCAATGCGGTGCGAAATATTAGAATCCGTCCGCCGCATCCTGTTAGCGCATGGTGTGTGGGTACGAAAACGATTAGGAACTCGAGGAAATCGCTCGGAGCGCGAGGGCGAGTGTATGCAACGACACTGCAAGGACGCGCTAGTGACGTTTCGAAAAACCCTTGGCGCGAGGAGGACGAAGCGTCGGCCAAGGAGTCACTCGCTCATCAGTTCCCGCGGCAGAGATATATCGTCCTGTGGCCGTATCGTCCTGCCCGTCACCGCGTCAACTACACCGTCCCCTCACCTCGCCTGCCCTCGTCACCATGCGGCCGTCACCACCGCCGCTGTCACCGTTTCACCGCTGGTGGACGGTGGCCGTGGCCATCACCGTTGCCATCGCGTGGCCGTCATTGCTGTCCGTGGCCGCTGCGGCCGGTCCCCGCGTGTACACCGCTCCGCTGGACGACACCGGCCGATCCGTGGTCTACTGGACGGTTGATTACGCGTTCCGTTCCGTCAAGTTCGAGGTGCACTTCGCGACGGACGGCGGTCACTACGACTGGCTGGCGCTGGGCTTCTCGGACCGCGGCAACTTCACCGGCGCCGACTTTTGCGTCATGTGGGTCGACTGGAAGGGCGTCACCGGCATGCTGGTGAGGAACGATATCTGATCGTTTTAATTATTTATTAATTATTCCACGCGCACCCGACCATCGCTCGACAACTCTAAGGGACTTTTTCGCTATCGCTTGTGCTTCTCGTATAATGCAGTACTTCGACGTAGTTTTCACTAACGACCACGTTCCAAGGCATGCTTTCGACCACGGTCCCGTTGAATACGATCGAAAATGGAGTGCCGTTGAAACGTCATTTAAAACCCTTGACCATGTCAATTTAAAATTATTTAAATATGTACACACTACGTATTACGGACGACAATATCGTATTCCTAAATGTCGTAAAAGAAAACTTGCAAACGAATTGTCCTCATGGATAATTAAGTTATTTAAATAATCCTACCGGATATTAGGTGTCCTAATAACAATTATACTAATTTATAAAAAACAATGAAGAAAAAATCGCAAGTTAACGGTAAGACTTAGTGATATCGATAGAATTATGTATCGTTTCAATATACGTTTTTCGGTTTTAATCCGTTGTCATAGACGAGCTTGATCTGTAGATTAATTTTGATGATCATCAATCTTTAGAAAAAAAAAAAATAAAAAAAAATAGTAGAGGAGCTCGGTTCCACTGCGCAACCCATCCCCCCCCAATTCGAGTACTGATTTATTTAGAAGGAGAAAAATTTAGATAGAGAAAAAAAAGTCTCTATAAGTTTCCGGTATTCAAGACTGGGGTTGACAAATTGGTTAATTAAGTATATTTGATAATAATATTGCAGATGATGAATTTTTAGTTGGGTATTTATAGTTTTGATGATCATGTTGCAGACCATTGACATTTGTCGAATAAAACCGTTTTCTGTAGTTAAGACCCGTAATTATTAAGCTTTCAATTGTTTAATTAATAATTAATTAAAATGTAAAAACAATTATTATTTTTAAAACTTATGGTTTTATTTAAAAATACATTCTCATTGATTCGATTTCGGGATTTACGTATATTAAATATAAAAAACAATTGAAAAATTTTCGTAGTTGCAATACAAAGGATTATTTTTGAGTTATTTAATCTAAATTTGATGAATATTTTTAAAAATGACCGTGACGGCGAAGTGTATATGCAATGTCATTGCACATTTTTGTGTAAGCTGACTATAGCTGCCTATATAAAGAATTTATCAATAATAAAAAATAAAAAATACACTCAAATTACACATTTATATATATTTACACAGTTATATATAAGGTTGTGTTCATTTTATTTTCATTGTGTCATACTGAATACAATCAAAATATTACTCGGCTAACATGGTGGCCGTTGCACCCAACTTAAAATAACTTAATCAACAAAATTTAATTATAATAATAATAATAATAATAATAATAATCATCTACTTTTTTTTCTTCTCCCTCGCCTTTCAACTATTTGGTGTTGGCCACCTTTGACCTAAATCTCCACTCGTCTTGATTTTCTAAATCCTCTACGCACACACCAACAAACCTTATATCAATATTAATCGTATCCACTCATCTCTTTTTTGGTCTTCCTCTACCTCTTTCTCCTTCAACGTTCATTTTCATAATCACTCTTATTGCATTTTTTCCTCTGACCTCATTATATACCTAAATCATCTCAGTCTAATTTCTCATATCTTATCCACTATCAACGTCACACTAATTCCATTTTACACATATTTGTTTCTTAATCTATCTTCTCTTGTTACTCCACTTCTCCATCTAAGCATTCTTATTTCCGCAATACTCATAATCTGTTATATTCTCTTATCAATTGTCCAACACTTCGAAATATATAGTATAATTGGTCTCAATGTACTCCTTTAAAATTTACCTTTCAGCTTCATTGGAATTATCTTATCATATAAAACATCCGATGCCTTCAATTTCTTGTTATCTTACTCCAAAGCCATACTCTATATACTCTGTTTTATTTCTACTAACTCTCAATCGCTTTCCTTCAAGGGATAACTTTCACTCATTCAATCTATTACAAACTTATTCCAGACTTTCTCCTATCAAAACTATATCATCAGTAAACATCATATACCATGGTATCTCGCTCTATACCTCTTTTGTATCTTCATCCATTACCACAGAGAAAAAAATAAGGGCCTAGAAATGACCCCTGATGCACACCAATTCCTACATTAAAGTATTCTGCACATATATTCCACACATTCTTTTGATACTAGTCCTTTAGCCTTCATACATATCTTGAATCAAATTTATGTAAATTTTTAAGACCTCTTTAAAACTTTTCTTGGCATTCTGTCATACACTTTTTCTTAATCTATAAACACCATGTATAGTTTCATAATAATAATAATCATTCTGCAGGACACGTGGACGAACGATGCGGGAAGAATTTCAGTTGACGAACGACAGGATTGTGATGAATTCGATGTTGCTCGAATTCATGGAGGAGTGATTGCTTTGACTTTTACACGGAAATTCGATACGTGTGATGACGAACGCGATTATTTGATCGAAGTAAGAACAACTGGAAATTTAAAAATATTATTTAAATTTTGAAAAAAATAGTTGGATCAATTAGATCCTCATAACAATTTTTTTTATTTAAACTTTTAATAGGTAGGTATTTTTTTTAACAAAATTAACGAAAACGAATAATATTTTGTACAAAAATAATAATATAAAAGAAAAAAATTCATTGATGTCAATTTATTTAACTTTTTCATGATTACATAATCTTAATATTTTTATAAATCTGTTTTAAATGTATATTTACCATATAGCTTGTTTGAATCTATTTAGAATCAATAAAGTTTTCTTAAGGACTGGTAAAAATTGTCATATTACAAATCATGCATTAAATTAGACCTTAAATCAAAATTATCTGCGTGTTTACGTGCTATGCTTACAGCATTATTAAAAAGCAAAAATTATTCGTAAAATTAAAATTTTTCATGGAAGGGGTGGTTTATACTAATTCCCCGGTGAGCAATAATGGTATTACATTTCGAGTTGGGACGTGCGCTCCGGCCAGACGAATTTCTAATACGATAGCATTCTACGCGTGCCTACTAAAAGTTTTGGCATCCTGTTAGGACGGCACTACCCATTTGGTGTGGATGATGGGCGGTGGTCCGTTGTTTGCGGTAGACGGGTTGCTGGTGTCACAGGCCAGAGCGAAGGGCATGCAACGAGTTCAGTTGCTGAAAGCGGAGAGGCCGCAGGTCAAGTTGCCAGACAAAGTGTCGGAAGTGGACGTATTGGCGGATAAGGTAAAAGTGCCCGCGGAGGAGACGACGTACTGGTGTCACGTGATGAAGATTCCATTGGACCTGTCGTCAAAACATCACATCGTCAGGGTAAACGCGAAACGTATTTAATGAGATAATAATAAAATCGTATTTTCACCTGCTTATTGTAACTCCAGTACAATATTAATTTGTTGTATTATACTACTATTTGCATATGGCTTTATTCAATCAGCAAAAACAAAATATGATTCATTTATAAGAAAATTAATAAGTAATTAAACAAAATACAAATTATAATATACAGGTATATATAATAATAAAAAACTGTCTTAATATAACGCTGTTTTTGTGTTTTGTATAACCGATGGTTGTACACACACGCTCGGTAAAACGTTGTTGTTTCTGTGCACCACAGTTTGAATCGGTCATCGAAGAGAACAGCCGCGGCGTGGTGCACCACATGGAGGTATTTCACTGCGAGGCCGGTGCCGACGACCAGATGCCCCTGTACCGGGGTCCTTGTTTTTCGGAAAAACGGCCGTATAAGACGCAAGTGTGCAAGAAAGTGTTGGCCGCCTGGGCAATGGGAGCTCCTGCATTCGTCTATCCTGAGGTTGGCCACATATGTCTGTAAATAATGATACCGCGTTTGCTACTTACAACATCGCTCGACTTGCATTTCTCACATTATTATTACCTAACTGAAACGGTCGCACATAAGGATGGGAAAAATGATTCGCTTAAATGATTCGTCTCATTTGAATCAATTCACTAAAACAACTTATTCTTAGATTCGTTCACTGACTCGCATTTGATTTTCAAAATCAACGGTCAGCAGAAAAAACAGCTCCCTCTGTTTTTTGTGTCCTTAGAATAATAATGAAATTTTTATGATCAAGTCAATCGGCTGTTCAATAATTGAATTTGAAGTACTTTGTCCAAAAAAAAAACAATTAACTCAATGTCATAGATACCAACATTTCGATCACATAAAACCTTATTGCAACTATCAATCTCCTCAAATCCAACGGCACCCACTCAACTGATGAGTATCCCAAACCCAAAGAAGAATCATCCAAATGCGCACTATGTAAATGACTCCATTCACTTAACTATCTTTAATGTTCAGATTATAAAAATGTCCAACAGTGAAAAAAACCCCTATCCAAAAATTCCTTTTAAAAGAAACGAATATTTCAATAAAAATTAATAGTATTTGAATAACAGTTTATTTTGTATACTGTCCGGGCGATTGTTAACTCAACCAGAATATCGGTTAAGATAAAAAAGTAATAAAAGGTCTAATGTAAATTCCGTCAGTTTTTTTTTCTTACCTATAATGGGTATATGTAAACTCCGCTAATTTTTTTGTGTTTTGCCTGTGAATCCTTTCATAGTCATCTAAAAAATTCATTTTAGAATGTTCATATTTTTAGTAAAGTTCTTACCGAATTTCAAACCCATACTTATATAAAACTAAATGGCATGGTTAGGAAAAAAGCTAAAAGATTCGAAATAAAAAAAAAAAAATGACAGTATTAGAGGATTCTATAAATAAGTATACTAATGGAGTAATGCATGACTTAGAATATTTACAAATTGTATCACATAATTTTAGTTTACATACATGACATAACTATATACTTGATTATACTTGATTTTCTTTACTGGCGGAGTTTACATGAACTCAATTTACTTGTTTTTTTTTCTGGTGGAGTTTACCGTAAAAGAAGGTACTTGTGGCGGAGCTTACATGTGCCCATATTGTCCACCGGGTTTTGTAATTTAATGTGATGATTTCTCTATATTTTTTAAAACTTTAGCACATTCTTTCAACGCAGGGGGACTTCAATGCATAACATTCACTATGGAGTTGTTACTCTAATAACCAAAGAGAAAAGTTACTTCCCCTTATTTTAAACGATGGTCAGCTTTCGTTTGTGTCTCTACCTGGTCCCACTTATTAGCCTTATCATTCAAATAGAAACCTTGACATTCTTGATTTTTTCATAACTAATACTCCAAACCACTTAAATATAGTTATCTAGAGTATCAGTCATGTATACAGCGACCATACTCCTATACTCTTAATAGGAGGATCTCCTAAATTAAATGTTCAACTGTTGTTCACAAAAAGCTATTACTTGGGATAAGTTCAAAATTAATTTAGACAACTTAATCGATCTGATAGTTTCATTAAAAACGCATGACGAAATCGGAAATGCAGCCATATATTTGTTCGAAATAATAAAAAAAAAGCCGTTTCTTCAACTAAAATCACCCCCTCTAATTCTTCACCCAAAAAGACTCTCTGCAACTTTCACAACTTATCTTTGGTCAGGAAAGGTGCGCTAGATCTTCGTGGCAAAACTCATTTTTTTCCAGCGATATTAACAATATTAACATATGATTGTCGAAAATCTATATATATAAAAATTTCGTGTCACGATGTATGTTCGCGATAATCTCCGAAACTACTGGACCGATTTTGATGAAATTTTTTACACCGTGTGTAATTTGGTCCAACTTAAAATATAGGATAGTTTTTTTTTCAAATTTTTTAATATTTTAAATATTTTAATTAACTTTTTAATAAATGTGTATAATTGCATGGTGTATTTCGGTGTATTTCTATCACCGGAAACATCGATGAAAATTTAAACGCCAATGACATCGGAACTGCATGTATTTTACCTTCAAGCTACATCGGCAGTCCACGGAGCATGCAGGAATACATACAAGATGCGATGACTTATGTACGTCATTACGGTCGACCTGATTTGTTTGTTACATTTACGTGTAATCCAAATTGGGAAGAAATAAAAAGTTTGTTATTACCAGGCCAACAATCAATACATCGTCACGATATCGTTACACGTGTGTTTAAACAAAAGTTAAAATCTTTAATTAATTTAATCGTAAAATATTCAGTTTTTGGTAACACACGTTGCTGGCTGTATTCTATTGAGTGGCAAAAGCGAGGTTTGCCTCATTTTCATATTTTGGTTTGGCTTGAAGTTAATCGCGCCGTCTCGAGTTTTGTTTGTTATTTTTATTTATACAGTTTAAAAATTTATACATGCTAAAAAACCAACTAATACGCGGGAAACGCCGTGTCGGGATAGCTAGTATTATATAAATATAATATAATTGAAACGAATTGATTGAAGTTGTTTGAACGATATTGAAATAACCGTTTTCACTTGAATTTGAATGAATTCGTTCACTGAAATGGCTTGTTTATTTTGAACGAATCGTTCGTGAACGACTCATTCTTTGTGGCATTTATATCCGTTTTGATTTCTTACACAGGAAGCCGGACTGCCAATTGGAGGTCCGGATTTTAATAATTACATCATGTTGGAAGTGCACTACAACAATCCCGGATTGAGAAAAGGTAATAATCACTTAGATAATATGTGCATAAATAATACTATTAAAGGTTAGATCAGTGATTTAAACTGAAATATACTTATGACGAATATAAAGAGATATAAACCCTTTCATAGTTAGGTATGCCTATTATGTAGTATCAGATATTGAAGGTTGGATTTATTTACCTCCTAAATTCCTTATATATTTTGTCATAGTTGAACCATGGGATTCATGGTATACCATTTATACATACCATTCTCTCTGTCTATGGTTTCAATCTGTAGATTGGTTTGCAGCCATCTTCCATTATTCCCTCTTATCCGCCTTCCTTTTCATTTCCACATACGAGTCATCCAATGATATGATCCTTTATTATCTGTTGAATGAATTCCAATTTTGTTCTACCCCTACGATTCTTTCTTTTTACTGTTCTTTCTTTTATCAGTTTCAACAATTTATCGTGTCTCCTGATATGGCCTATCCATTCGTTCCGTCTTCTGACTATGTTATTCCATAGTAACTATGTTATACCATTGTATGGTATTATATCGTTATAATACATGTGTTTCTTTTTCGTCTTTTGACCACCGCGTATTTGTATTCTCACAGCATTCGAATTGACAATGGTAATGCAGACGGACGCCGTTCGATCACTATAAATATAACTCTATAAGTCCAATTAGCGTGCATTATTTTGTATTAGTGGTACAGATCTCGTCCAAAACTGATTAGTTTTTGATCTCGAAGTCGGCTATATGCGTCGTTCACTTCAATACATAATATTACGTCGTGTATTGATTTAAAACCGACCGTTATTTCAAACGGGATTTCGCGCATCGATCGTGTTATAATTTGTTAAAAATATGTTATAAACCACAGGTGTGACGTTACAGGCATGGTGGATAGTTCCGGCGTCCGCTTGTACATTACGCCGGAAGTGAGAAAATACGACGCGGGTGTGATCGAATTGGGCTTGGAGTACACTGACAAAATGGCCATACCGCCGAAACAACAGGATTTCATACTGAGTGGATACTGCATCGCTGAATGCACGGCAGTGGTACAGAACCTTCACACACATACATGATATCGAATACTATTTGCGTGTGCAACGCGTTTAACCAGAACAATATATTTTTATTTTTATTTTCTGGTTCAGCTACCTTAGGCGTACGGACGAGTTTAGTTTTTTTTCCGAATAAATTATTATTCACTGTAATATCGAACGGTTATAAAGTCAATTTGAAAACGAACAGCGTTCCCCGTAGAACGTGTACAAAAGATATTATAACCGATAGCAGTATATTTCAAAACGATGAAGGTTTTACGTATATCGCGAATGATTAGCAAACAATTATCAAATCGAGTTATCGTTTTTCATGTATTCAATGAACAAAGAGTAATGTATACAATTGGTCAGTCAGTTTATAACTGTTGCGGTGGAAAATAATTTTCTTAGGCGTAGATCAAAATTATTCATCTAGCGCTATCTAGTTGTTGAACTTCACTACTTGGTACTAAATACATTACTACGTACATTTCGTCGAGAGATCTCGTTCGCTTTTTCACCGCGAACAGCTCCGTTTACTCTAACAAATTACTTAATTCGAAAAAAAAAAATTCATACACTATAGTATAACCGTAGACTAAAATAGTAAGACCATTATAATAAATAATTATTTTTTTATGTTCAGTGATATTTTCATATATTAAATATAATCTAACAATACTATTACACGATTAAATATAGGTAGGTAGTATATAACATCTAATTATTTTAAAAATTGTTGTTTTATATCTTAAAACCTCTCTAGATGTCGATCGTAAATATAGTTTTGTAATGCTCGAAATATCATGCGTAAAACAACATTTAAGTCCATGGGACAAAATGTATTACCTAAAAATGCATTATGCCAAATTACATTTTCAACTACAAACCATTTTTACTGTTATCTTAACCATTTCTGTAATATATTGTAAATTGTATATAAAAAAAAAAAAAACATTTTCTAAATATTTTTGATGATATTAATAATGATTTTCTAGAGTATTCCACCGACGGGAATTGAAATCTTTGGTTCGCAACTACACACTCATCTGACTGGCACCAAGATCTACACGAAGCACGTGCGCGATGGACAAGAGTTGCCGGAACTCAACAGGGACAATCATTATAGTACACATTTCCAAGAAATTCGCTTACTCCACAAACCAGTTCTAGTGCTTCCTGTAAGTTATTTTAATATTTTCTGGTAAGTTGTAGCCGCTTTTTTTTTTTTAATATTTACTTCTTCTTCTAATATTGATGTTGCATTAATCAACTTTTAAAAAAACTTGATTAAATAACGTACTAAAAACAATCTAAATCATTAGAAAATAGATCATAGAATAATCATTTGAATCTTAAATGTTACATATTTTTTTTTTTTTTTTTTGTTTAATTTATTCGTCATTTTTAAAAAATCTATAAAAATACATTTATCAAAATATGCATTTTTCATTGACTGTTATTCAATGTTCAAAATAATTATTATATTTTTTTGTGCCAAATAAACCAGTGCGAAAGGATGCGAGAGAATGAGATAGAGTGTGTGGAACATTGGAGCATAAAAATGTTGTAATTATTTGAATAAAACTTGTTTGTCTCTGAGCGCTGATATAGCTTATCACAGATTTGTGCCATGATATATTTAAAAGGATTTTGTGTCGCGAGGTCTTGGAGCAAATTACACACCTCCTTGTGATACCGGCAAATGAAGAACTACTGTTTGTCTACGAAAAGTATATACACATATATATATATATATACAAGTATTACATAGACGTAACAACGTATACAATAATTATGTAATGGATATTAATAGCAACTTTTTTTATTTTCTTACAGTAGGCAATTGCCTATAAATCGTCGTCGTATCGTCACAATATAATAACAATAATATAAAAACGATAATAATAAAAATCATAATAATAATAATAATAATAATAGTAATAACAACTGTTACCGCAGTACGTGCGTATACACAGAGTTGTTGCAGTCGTTGACGAACGAACAATAGTGTATCGGTCTCCCCCCGCGGAGAGGCATGCTGAAGGTGGCGGCGTAGATAAATGCGCGCGTGCAGTATACCTAACTGTGTACATAATATGTATCTATACTGTGCTCATATACGATACGTATAATACAAGGCGGCCCTGGTGGAAAAACATAATGGTGAAAAAGTAAAATATAAATAAAGCGCCACGTAGACCCTCAGGTTTCGCCAGAGTGCGATCCAATTAACCGATAGAGAAACACCGTCGTCGTGTACATTATACATTTGTTATTTTTTTTATTTATTTTTTATTTTTCAATTAATTATTAACACAATGCCTCAGCGATCAATAAACCGAAATCATTCGGTCGTCGGTGGTTTATGTACCGTACAATGTACATAATAGCGCATGCGTGTACGTGTGCGTCTGCACAATTACCCAGGTATACGTATAGCAAAAGTCACGGAACGCGTAGTGCACACGACTTAATTTAGTAGGCAATATAATCGAACACGGAAAAAATATTATCATGTTTCTTATGGGACATCCGATATCAGTAGACAAAAAATTATGTTCATAACCGCAAGATCGCTATTACACCATTTGTAGTACTTGGTTTGATAATACATGTTTAAAAATAATAGAACATTCAACGTCAACGTAAAAAGACACGCTTTTATAAGTGATCATTGTATCCTGACTCGTTGGACTAAATAACCTAGACAACATTTAAGCTGAAAAAAATATGGTTTACCGCCGTGGTCCGGTTGGTCCATAGCATTCAGGGACATATTTGTATGAGGAGTTAAGAGGCCTCAGTTCCATGAAATTTCACAAAAAAATGTTGTCTACTATTACCCTATAAAATGTAAATTGTAGAAGCTCATGTTATCATTGATATATGGATTATTAGTTTCAAATTGTATAAATATCTGACATTTTCGGCCGTAACGATCAAATTGAAATTGAATATAAATTGTTTCATTAGTATTATGTTAATTTTCTTTTATTATGTAGGTATTTTATTTCTTTAATTTAGTAAATGATAATTTTAATTATGTTGATATTTTATTTTATCTCATTAATGATTAAAAAAAAAATAGATGATTACTCAGTAAAAATTATAATTGTTTACTAACATTTTAATTTTTAATTTTTATTTAATTTTGTTAAGAAAAAATTCTCCAGCCATCCAAAAAAAAAAAAATCTTAACACGCCCACTGATATTATTAGTGTATAATATAACAGATAAACCATTATTATTCTACTTTATAATACCTAACAATGATAAACCCGTTGCCAGCACCCCCCAGTATGAAATACTCTAAACATTACTTACAATTATTAACAATTATTATCTTAATACTAATAAACAGTAAAAAATTGAAAAAAATAAGTAAATAAGTAGCACGCGATTTGCATAAATTCGCACGACACTCCCTTCTCCTATAAAATCGAAAATCCAGCGTGGGTTGGCAACACATTTCGCTAGCATTTCCCTCTGGTCAAAATTAACATATTCAAAAAATTTTTTTGCATATTTTAGCATTTAATTCGCATGAAATAATTATTATAAATAATATATTATTATAAAATAATTATTATTATGATAAATTAGTAAATATTTCAAGTATTTAAATTATATGTAAATTATACGGTTTAATTTGAAATGGAACAATATATTGTTTCATATAATTTTTTAATACTATTGTGTGTAAAAATGTCTACTTTTCTAATTTTTTTATGATGTAGAAAAATGGTCAAATTTAGAATTGTTCCTAAAAAATTAAACGCGACCAAAGGTTAACAATATAATTGAATAATTTTTCGTTGCGTTCATCAAAATTAAAGATTTATATAATTATATTTGATTTTATAACTGTGAACAATATTCTAATAATTTTACCTAAATGGTATATTTTTTTAATCAGAATATAAGGAGAGCAAAATAGCTTATTTCACACATAATTTTCATTTGATATTATAAAATTAACAGATTACTTTGTACAAACGAATTGGGTCTTTTCCCATAAGAGTATGAAACCTTCCAACCTACGGCGTCATTTTGAGAAAAACAAGAATTTAACTAGTCTTTGGATTTTTTTTATAGACAAGCTAGGAGAGTTATAACAAAATCATAAAAAATTTAAGAAATCGACAATTTTAAGTAGTAATAAAAATGCCACTTTAACTTTGTTTGAAGAAGTAGCTCAACTTGTTGCAAAATCTGGTAAAGCTCATAGGCGAAGAACTAATTCTTCTAACTGCAATCGTATTTATTAAAAAGGAGTCCCCAGGACCAATTTAAATTTTAGTTAGGGGTCTGTGGCTTCATACTAATTGGGAAGTTCATCAATCGTAATTGATTCAGCTGTATTATAGCTGATCATAAGCGTAGGGGTATCTAGTGTCAGGGTGGGAGGGTCATGAATTCTCAAAATAATAAATAATGTGACAATATTGAACTAAAACTGTCAATATTTATTTTTATTGTCTATTATTTAGTTCGCTTAAAATCGATGTCATATTAGTTATGAGTTTATTTGTTTATGTTTATGGATACTCTGAATTGATCCACTTAAAAAATGTTTAATTTTTTTTTTTAATTCAAGTGTAACACCAAAAGAAAAACGTATTTTTATTCATCAATAATAATAGAAATGAATAAAGAGGTATGGAAGGAATAATGATTTGCACGCAATTAAAATACTTATTTATTCAGAATGGTACCTAGTTAACTTAATTAATAGTTTTGTTTGTCCTATATTCGATAAAATATCGATTTACATATTTTTGTATCTTAATGTATATGTATATATATTTACAGGGTGATGCGTTAATTACCACGTGTCATTACAACACAGAAAACAGAAAAAATATCACACTCGGTGGTTTTAGTATAACCGACGAAATGTGCGTCAACTATGTATACTATTATCCTAACATAGAATTAGAAGTTTGCAAAAGTTCAATCAGCGATCAAAATCTCAAAAGTTATTTCAAATTCCTGAACGAGTGAGTATATATACATATAGACTGTATATTTATGTTAAATATTTATAACATAATGCATTGTATTAATTTATACAATAAACATAATATATATTATATATACACTAGTATATTATTATTTTTTATTATATTATTATTTATTTATGTATAAATGATATTATATAATATTCATATACGTGTATATAGGCGTATATTAAACCGTGTACTTACTCGTAAATATGATTACAATACGATTATTGTTGTTATATGTATTATTGTTAAAATGTCACATTAGTTATGAATCATGATCAAAATAATTTCGCGGTCGTAGACCGATTACTAGACAACCCATGAATACGATATTATTAATATTTTACGAGTCGGTCGTCTTTCCATGTACCTCAGGTACATCTTAGGTACATCTCAGATATTAATTTCAATAAATAATGTACGCAAATATACGTAAACATACACTCAATGCAATTCGAAAGTCAATCATTGTATTTCTAGAATTGTTCTCTATAGTAGTATATATACATATAGGTGTGGTTTTATCGTGTGAATCAATAAATAATATAATATTCGTGCGTAATGATATGTTTTGTACCATTTTAAACGCAAAAAAATAATCAATATTGGGTTTCAGAATTAATTAATTAATTAATTAATTAATTAATTAATTAATTAATGAAACTATAATGCTACAATACGGTAAAACACTATTTACAGTGTTCTGTAGATTTCTGTAACTTTCTAAGTGGTTATGAATATCTCTATGTATTATATTGTTAATTAAATAAACCGCTGTTAGAATATACGTATATATATATATATATATATATTCCTTTTGTGTGATCCCTGGCACCATGAAGTTAATACTAATGCAGTATACCAATATAAAATATTTGTACATATGTAAATATTTTATAAAACCGTGTAAAAAAAAATTAAAATAAATTAATACGATATTTATGCCGATCAAATTAATTGTATTTATTATTAAAATAAGAATAATTTAAACTCAACGATTTATACATCGTGGACATCAGTACAAAAAAGAATAAAAGATGGTTTTGCATTTATATAATTCATAGAATACTTTAAAACATTTGTCACAGATCAATGTTAATCATAACTATGGTTTTTCACATTTGTGAAATATCAATGAATTTGAAAAAAAAATTTTGATCTCGTCTTAAATCAATAATTTTGTTGATAATTTGATACTGCACTATAATTTGTTTTTGAAACTAAAGGCTTCTAATATGTTAGCCACTTGGTCAAATTTATGTTTCTTGAGTTTTCTATTTCAACTGAAAATAAAGAGATATTATTGTTAATCATATTAAATTATACTTTACATTGAGGTCCAACATGACTTAGTTTAATGTGTAAAACATTAGTATTATTTCCCTTAGAAATTGATTTCTAAACTAGGTAAATCGAATATTTTATTAATTTAATTTTTTTTGCGTCCTCCTTTATACTCGGACCGTAAAGAGAATCGATTGCGTTCGTGTGTATAAATACATAAATCATAAAATAAATAACTTTTTATGATCGATATAATTGTGATTAAGCAATAGTCACTGACAAATGAACAGAAAAGTAGTTCGATAAACGTGCCGGAAAACTCATTCAACATGATGTAACGTTACAGTTCAGTAACTAATGTTATGATCAGGGGACGGACTTTAATGCAAAATACATTTTTTAGTGGGTAGAATAGGGCAATGCTTTCTAAGTGTATAATTCGATTCATACATCAGAGAATTTAATAATGAAACTTTTATTTTACATTTTTTTGCATTTTTCAAACTTTTTCAGTTTTTAAAGCATTTTTTGACATTTTTAGAGCATTTTTTCATTTTTAGGACATTTTTCATATATATTTGGTGCGATATAAAACTAATTGGTGTCCGATTATTAGTAGGTACTCATAGAGTCGTTAGTCGTGTTCGCTATCGTAATTCGAAAAGTGTGAAAGATGCCGAAAATTAAGCCGTCTGATCGTTGTCGTTCACGTGTGTTTGTACGAGAATTCGGTGAAAACAATTATTAATTATTAATTAACATAAAACATTTTTCAGGCTAAAAAAAAAGATAAGCGAAAAGACAAAAAAGTTTTTTTTTATTGTATATATTTAAATATTTTTTTTATAAGATAAATTTTTTATAATGATGAATTTTTTATAAATTTTAAGTTTTAATAATATTATACACACACAAAACTGTGCAAAATTTTGTTTTTATCGAATTTAATAACATTTTTAATGTTTTTAGTGCATTTTTTTGATATTAAAGCATTTATTTAAGGCATAAGGTCGTATTTTTTAAGGACATTTTTCTTATTTTTTAAGACATTAAAGTCCGTTCCCTGGTTATGATGAACTTGTAAAATAATTATATAACTGAGTCTATAACTTCGGGATTTTCAAATAACAACGGAAAAAACCGTCTGCCCGCAGGTGGGAGAGACAGCGGACGTCACCGGAGCGGGCTGTGAGCGTCAACTACAACGGGATCGAATGGACGCCCATGCGAAGCCGCGTGTTGCACCAGGTGTACGAGGAGAGCACGCTGTCCATGCAGTGCAACCGGAGCACGGGAGAACGGTTTCCGGGCGACTGGGAGAACAGGCCGTCCACCAAAGTGCTGTACACGCTGCCGCCGCCGGCTAGGAGCTGCCGGTCCCCGTTATCCACGTAGTCCTGGAAAACCGCTGCAGATGACCGAACGTCGTGAGCAACAACATCCTTCCGGCGCGGCACATTCTCGTCTCTACATCATCTTAAACTTCGTACTCGTAGCACGCGTTATCACTTATCACAATATTACACACCGCCCATCGCTATCCACGACACAGTTCTAAAAGACAAAGCTAATAAGTCTTATTTCCCTTTTGGATTTCCGTGGCTGTTTCCTTAGCGATATCGTTTTTTCCCATAAAATTGTGTTAAGATATTTGAACGGATTGACTTTCTTCGAACGATTCGCCTTTAATACACAATCTATCCAATTTCTTATTTCAATAATCATATATTCAGTTTTTTGTTCTTTAATGTGTAATCCTACTTTCTGTGCCGCATCGTTTAGTCTTTCGAAGAACCGCCTTATCCTATCTTGATATTTTTCTATGAGCACTCCGTCTTCTGCGTATACTTATATAGACTTTATACAAAATCAAAACATAAGCGATGAATACATTAGTTTAATGTCTAAATATATACAAACGTTACATTCTATTCTAGAGTTTATGCAGGTTAAATCAGTACGATGATTATCGATTTTTTTTTTTTTTTTATAGACTACATGACATACAAATAACAATTTATTATACAATTATTATTTTTTTTTTTTTTTTTTAATTAATACAATTATTGTTATCTTTATATAGCGATATATACTACAGTCAATCTGATTTCTATTTCCGAACGCTAGTGTATATAGACAGTTTTTCGCAGAAGTTGCTCTTTGATACGCATGCTGAACACGCATTGAAAAGCGGCAGTAGTAGCGACACTCTAGGGTTTAGACATCAAGTTATTTGGTTATAACACTATAAAGAATATTTTCCAAGTATTATAATCAAACAATTTGCATATTGGTAGAAAATAGTGAATAGTAATATTCGGTCGTATAATATTGGTCGCATGTTAATCGCATGTCAATCGTGAGACATTGAAACACTATTGTGCATATTTGGTTTTTCTATATTATATTAAAAATAGTTATACCAGTTTTTAAGCTGTACTGTTTAAACAATAGCCAAAGTATTTTATCGTTATAATGATACGATTCGGGATCGCAATGTTTTTAATGTTTTGTAATGTATGACAGTTTTAAATCAAGTTAATGCATTACACTGAATAATGTTGAAATCATCGTAGTGTTTTCAATATTCCATTAAATTACAAAAAAAAAACCCAAGAAGTTAAAATATGTTAGTACATTGTATTTTCATGAATTGTTGTAAATGACAAGTCGAAAGTTTAAATAAAACGATAAAAATATATAAAAATGAGTAGAACATATTATTTTTATTTTTTAATTGAAATATATAGTATTTAGAATATTTGAAATTCATTTTTTTTTTTTACAATAAGTACCTAAATGTTGTGAAATTAATATAAAACAAACATAAAAGTACAAATAAAGAGAAGAGGGAGCCCATCAGTGTGGGAACTTTCACACATTGTTAATGAAAATCTTAAGTCAAATTTTCCTTTTTCAACTGTGAACGAGTAGATCAAGAAAGCTTTGTCGTCAAATTATTATTATTATTTATCTCAAATAATAAATATTTGAATATTTATCTCATTTAAATACGATTTTAAATATAAATTTTTTTAGCTATAAAAGTCTTTAATTATTATTGTTATACCTATAATAATTTTAACGCTACTAATCTGTATTAACGACAAAATTATTTTGTGACCAATTTTATGCGACCTATATAATTATATCGTGTAACTAAATTATACAAAATCCTTAAAAATATTAGCTTTTTAGTCCATCTGAACATCGTACAAAAATTATTTTATAATGTAAATTGAAAAGAAAAATGTTTCAGTCAACAACACAATTTGAGACATTTATAAAGTGAATATCCATGACAACTGTTATTCCGAAATAGATAGTTCACTAGTAGATAAATCTATAGAATTGTGTGTGAGTAAAATTTAAACTAATAAAATATTTTAATAATATTAATGGAATTACATTTTATTTTGTACGATTTAAGCAGATAAAAATGCATTAAAAATATTTATAAATTGTATGGAAATGTCGTATAAAAAAATAATTAAAATGTTATAAAAGTGTTATTGTAATGTATTAAAAACAATTCGAAAGCTATAAAAATAAAAATTCAAGTTATGTGATATAATATTGAAACATATATGTAACAGAATAGAAAATAGAATAGAATAGTTCTGTCTAAAAAAAAATAACGAGTACATCTTATCCGTTATCCGTTACTTACAAAGAGTTGCATCGAGTCATATATCAACCAATTTAAGTTAGTAGTCCATATATATTATACGTTATACAATATTGTTTTTCGCGCAATGCATTGAATTTTTATAAAACGCACATGATTTGATCATAACGTTTTATTCACTAATCTATATTATAATATGGCAGATATTAATAAATAGCAACACATAATATGTTTTTAATGTTTATTTGAAAATATTATAATATAGTAAATTATCTTTATAAGAAAATGAGTTAAGCTGTTTTTTATTCCATTGGGATAAATTAAGAATATATTTAAAAAAACAATCTTTATCAAGAATGTGAATACAAAAATTACATTTTGTACTCGTACTATGTACATGGGCATTGTCACAGAGGGATGATATGGGGGATGAATCCCCCCGTGGCCTTTTTTTTTTTTTAGTAGGATGGATTTTCATAATTAACAGATAAGTGATATTTAATATTTTAATGAAAAATAAATAAATATTTTTTTGACTCGTTATCATTTTCCAGGCAAATATGCAATTGGTATACAAATAACAGATTCAGACCACGATTGCAAATTAATATCTGTAATCTAATATTATATTAATGTAAAGTGTAAACAATAAATTAGTCTCAATATACCATCGGTTATACAAGTCAGGCGCGTTATACAAGCCAGGGAGGTTATTACAGGTATAGTAACACCCCCCTCAGCAGTGGTATACTTGATATGTTTGATTATTTTGCATGACTTATGTATCATAAGTCGTGATTAACACTTATTTATCAAAATGAAATATATATTACGATAACAATAATGTAAAGCACTAAAGCCGGGATCCGGCATTAACTAATAATCATTAGTTTAGTATCATTATAGCTCTAAAAAGTACACAAATATGCATGCAAATATGCTTCTAAAATAATTAAAATATACATTCTAATATGTATTTATATGCATTAGGAAAAAAAAAATTACCACACAGTACACAAAATAAAACGTGTCTATCGGAAGTAAATGTATCTTTAAACTCCGAAACAAAACTTTGTAGTCGGCTTATCGTAGACTGTTGTACTTTTGGCATTACACAATAATAAATATCTCTTACTGTTCATCGACAAAATTGATTACTTTACCAATTAAGTACCACTGCAAGCAATGAAAGATCTTTTTCCTCTTTACGACGCTTAAAAACATATTTGAGGAAGACAACTGGTGAAAATTGGTTGAACGGCTTAGCAGTTATGAATATTTATCGGGATTCAGTCGTAACCACCGACGAAATAATAGATATTCTAGCTTTAAAAAGTAGACGCATTAAGTTAATTTAATTAAAAATATTTATTTTATTTTATTTATATTAATTATCATAATATATAAATGAAAAATTTAAATATACGTCAAGTAATCAATTTCGTGTGTATAATTTTGTCAATTAATTTTGAATAACACCCCATCACCCTTAGAAATTTCTAGCTACGCGCCTGATACAAGTGATAACATTTATATTTATGAATTGTTTTTAGCGATTGATGAGTTAGGACTGACGACTGATTTGTATTTTTATTTTTGATCAAAATGAAACCAAGTAATTCAAACATACTAAATTGTTTTAAAAAAAAAAGTTGGTTCCTCCTACAAGTAGCACTGATATAGAAAGGTGTAGGTGAAGTAGACAAAAGTTAATTGTCTGAGCAGTCTGATGTAAATTGCTGTATGTTATTTTTATGTAAAAAAAAGGCATGTAGGGGCTTGGTCCCCACGGCTCATCTTTTAATACATTTTCATGTCCACTTTGAATAAAAAATACTGAGAATGCTTCTGACTATGCACCTCCACCAGAGAAAATAAAAACAACCAATCCAAAAGCTTTATATTTTGTTACATTTATGTGGTAACTTCTTTAAAATTATAATTCACTAGTGCATTAATAATAAATAAAAGGTACATTCAAATTATATGAATTTATATATTTATGTATAAACAGATTCCGGAATTAAATTTATTGGTATAATTGTGTCATTATTCGGCGAATATTTAATATTCAGGCTATAAAAAACCCGCTTTAAATATTTTTTCGCTGGTGTTTTATAACTATATTTTAACTATATTTGTCGTCAAATAAATTATAAATATTATTTTTATTGATATTCGAAACACTAAACGTGAACTACACGTTTATGTACGATACGTTGTCGCGGGGGCAATGCATATTAGATCGTTGTTATTTTTAAGTAAAAAACCGTGTTCGTGTGTCGTAGATTCTTATTAATAGACGTGACTTAATGCGTGTGTAAACACACACACACACACAGACACACACACATATATATATATATATATATATTAAGGGACTAGCTTAAATCCATTTCCGATATGTTTAGCTCGTATCGAAGAAAATGAGAGTGAGAAGAGTACAAGACGGCGTTAAAAAATCTGGTTGGACCGACCGAGATATAGTGTGATATGTTATCCGCCGTTGTTTAACTTTTACACCGAGCGGGTGGTGGTGGTGGACCATGATAATGGTCGATCCATAGTAAACACTGCAGTTTATCACTACCTAGCTGTTTTACTAATACTCAGCGTTTCATCCAATATTCGAATCGCAACCGAATGAAAATACATTTTACAACGACGACGCAGCATTATAATGACACGTATCACGCAATCGTGTATGAATACCGGTTCATATAATATTATTATGGTTATTGATATCGTAGCAGCAGCAAAAAAGAATTTTGGATATGTTTTTCGAAGATTTGAATATTTCCGTACCAATTAAGCAGGGCGATAGTATGAGAAGAGAAAAGAATATCAAGAAATCCTTTAAAGAAATAAGTGTCCTGGAATACAAATACCCGGAATCGTACAGACTCATAGAATTCATAACCTTATTAAATAGAACTTTGTATATGTAAGTGAAGTGAAATGTATGATTAAGATTCGCACGAAAAAATGTACATTTATTTGTTTGGTCTTTCTTGCTGTGCCACTGGACATCACGCAAACGACCGAATACAAATATGAGTACTACATAATATACATCACATGTATACTGCTCAAGTTTGACATATTAAAGAATTCTTCTTCTTCTCGTCCCACCGAATCGATTGACAATTCAGAATCTTAAGTGTACATTTTTATAGACGACTAACTGATTCACCTTGATTCGGCCGAGTTATATTTTACTATTATAGAATAGAGAAACTATTATTTCGACGTAAAAAATATGCAGGTTGAAAACTCATAGAAATGTCGTTAA